ACTGGATGACTCTCAGCATAGGAAACTTATTTTGTGGTATTTAAAGGCATTTTAGAATGTTAACTTCATCAGCATTTACATTCCATTAATGATGAAACCTATTCACCATTGGCCTCTTGTCTTCCATGACTCAGTTGAAGATGTTTATTAAACATCTGGGATCTGTAAGCCTATTGGGCTAATAGGTATTAAGTAGCAGGGATTCTCATACTTAGTTGCTTATCAAAATTATTGTAGGATAAGACAAAAAAAATTCCTGGTCCCTAAGTCTTGGATCTAGATTTGAATTTTTGCTTTACCACTTAATAGTTGTGAAGCTTGGTAAGTAGCTTCATTTTTTTTCATCCGTGAATTGGAGATAAGATTCTGTACCTCATGTAGCTTGTTGGAAGATTGAATGAAATAATGCTTGAAAAGCACTTGGCTTAGTACCTGTCTCCTGATAAGCACTGGAATGCTTTTAATGATGGAGATAATGATGACGATAATTTTCAATGTCCAACTCCAGTTTTCTCTCAGTTCACATAATTTGCATGGAAATTCTTACTTTTGCTGAAAAGGCACACAGAAGTCAGTGTAAGGAACTGTTAAGAGGAACTTGCAATTTCGGGAAGGGCTACTGTGTGCCCAGGAAAAAAGGCTACTAAACATGACTCTTTTATTTCTACAAGTGGATTGTCACTTGTGTTTTTTCATACAATCCCATAGCCCATATCCTGAGCCAAAGCAACCGTTTCTCACTCACCTCCCACCCTCCATTTGGCCTTGGAGAGAGTGTTTCCTGGCTCACGATGTGGAAGCCAGGCTTTGCTCCAGTCATGCACTCAGAAATCTCCAGCAGCCTGTGTAAACAAGTCCGACTCTAGCTGGGCACTTGAGATTCGCCAGAGTTCAAATCCTGGCTCCTTATCATCTAGAAGCTTGGGTGACCTGGACATTTTCTTTTCTTATTTTTCTTATTTATTTTTTTTTGGGGGGGTGGGGAGGGTTACTTTTTGGGTTTTGCTTTTTCTCATCTCTAAAATGGAGATAGTGTTACATACCTGTTTAGGGCTGTTGTGAGAGTTAGAGGTGATTGATGTGAGATAACTAGTTCTTGCTTCTCCATGCCAGCTGACTCTTAGGAAGCCCCATCTATGCTGGTGCACAGGGCAGTTGCTCTGCCCACTTCAGCAAATGCATCTCCCTCCATCCTGCTGTACCATAGATACCAGCTTTTTACCTTGTGTGACTTGCCTGGTACCTTCTCTCTGCCTAAGCAACGCTTCCCATCCATTAAACTCTTCCTTTACTACAAAGCTTTCCCTTTCAAACTCATTTACTAATGATTTATGTGTTTCCTTATGAATGAGTTGACTTAGTTGACAATTAGTCACGTAGTGCCTTCTGATCTTTATTGCATAATCTTTTATTATTGTAATTATGGTATTATAAGTTAGCTGATATGATTTACGTCTCACATCCCCAGTGGACTTATTGATTCCTTGAGGGTAATGATCATGTCTTACACATCTTTGAACTCCATAGCACTAAGCACAGCTCCTTGTAGTCATAGGTGTTTAAATAATATTTGCTGGTATCCTGGGAGACTGAGTACTAAGACCACATATGCCATGGGGCAAGAGCGTCCAATGGTTAGCACTGTGAGAGAATCTGATGAATGGAAATAGATTTGAGCTAGCTTTCGTTGGGAAGCTAACGTTTCTGTCGGTTGACAAAAGAGGACGACACATGGCTGTGTGGGAAAGGCTATTAGGTGACTAGAGCCCTCATAGGTACTTTTAATAAACTATGCAGCTGCAGAAGAAATGGGGCAGAGCAATGCTGGGGTTGGCCTCCGTGTCAGCCACTAAAGCCCTGTTCTTCGTAACCGAGCGCTCATCCCTTCACCTTCACTCTTGCCCAGTGTAGACCCATCTCCCATGACTCTGTGGCTGTGAGCTGATGAACCGTAGCAGTATAGACAGACAATCCTCTGAGTTTTTCTCTAAGTGAAAATGCCTTTATTTTATCTTTATTCTTGAAGTAAATATTATCTAGATGTAAAATTCTAAAGTAGAAGTTATTTTCTCCTAGTTCTTTAAAGACATCTTTACATTGTCTTTTGTCATCAACCATTTCTGTTTAGTTGTCACTGTCTGTCTAACGTATTTTATGGGGGAGGGGCGGTTGAAGGTAATTAGTCTGTTTTTTTTCCTCTGGCTGTTTTTATTATTTTTATCTATGTTTTTGGTTTTCAGCAAGTGTGCCTAGGTGTGGTTTTGTTTGTATTTGTCCATTTGGGGTTTGCCTTGATTCTTAAATCTGTAGCTATTGTTGCTTCATAATTGATTCTGCTTCATTCTTTCTCTTGACTTTGTGGAACTCCAGATTACCCATATTTTAGACCTTTTCAGTGTTTTCCCCAAATGCTCCTTTTTACTTTTCCCACCATTTTGTCTCTCATTGCTTCATTCTGTGTATTTCTTTTGATCTATCATCTGGTTCCCCTGTTTTTCTTAGTGGTGTCTAGTCTATTGTTAAATCCATCTGTTGAAGTTTATTTTGTTGTGTTTTTTGCATTGGTGTCTTACTCTGTTACCCAAGCTGGAGTGCAGTGGCAAGATCATGGCTTGCCACAGCCTCAAACTCTTGGGCTCAAGCAATCTTCCTGCCTCAGCCTTCATGTAGCTGGCACTGTAGGCACACATCCCACCAGTTTGGGGATTTTTTTTGTTGTTGAGACCAGGTCTTGCTAGGTTGCCTAGGATGATCTTGAACTTTTGACCTCAATCAATCCTCCTGCCTGGGCCTCCCAAAGTGCTGTGATTACAGGCATGAGCTACCATGCCTGGCCTAGTTCTTAATCCTTTACATCTAGATTTTCCATTTTTATAGTTTTCACTTTGCTGCCCAAATTTCCATATTGTCTTTTATTTCCTTTAACATATCAGGCATAGATGCTTTAAAGACTACATCTGAACACATTAGTGTGTATCCATCATATCTGTGTACCACCTGCATCTGTATCCCTATGGCTCTGTTTCTACTTTCTGTGATTTCCCTTGGGTTTTTATTTTGTTGCCTCGTATCTTCGTATTACTAGCTGCATTGATTAAATGCTGGCGATTGTATATGAAAAGTTCCAGAAATAATAACTACCCTAGGATAATGTTATCTTCCTCAAGATAGGATTTACATTTACTTCTGGCAGTTCCAGGTCCTTTTAATCTGATCAGGGATTGAGATGATTCAAAGCTGGGCTTCAGTCTTTGATATTAGTCTATTTCCACTTAATTATCTCACTTATGAAGTTAGAGGGGGTAGTGTCTCCGGGACCCCCTTTTCCTAGCTGGGTCCTGATCTTCAATTTTTGTCCCGCTAGTTACCTGAATGTGTCAGAAACTCTGCTTAGCTTTAAAGCCCCATGGCCTCCTCTGCAGTGATCTGCAGAGGCCCCTGGGCTAGAAGAGCAACCCTACATGTCAGGCTTTTATCTTTCTAGTTTTTCTTTTTCTTCCAGATCTTGTCCTTCTAATTTTTCACTACATTATTAGCTCTCTGATGCTTTTAAACAGTTTTAAAAATATATATTTTGTCCATGTTTCTTAGTTATTCAGCAGAGAAATTAGATCTGAATGACCTATTACGCTCTTAACAGAAGCACCAGCCCCCTCTCAGCCAAGGAGTTTATTATCTTCATTCAGCAGAGACATTTCGAAGTCTCTGGAATAGAGAATTAACATGATTAAAGTGGTATTTTAGGAAGATGAATATGTCAGTGGTATGCAGGACAGAGAAGAGTTGGAAAAGGCTCAGTTAGTAGAACAATTAAGAGGTCATCATAACTGAAAACTTTCTGAAGTCAGATGAAAGCAGAGGTTAGGGTCTATAAGCCAGGGATTTTCATGTCAGATAGGCCTGAATCTAAATGAGAGTCTGGGCTCCCCACTTACTAGCAAGTCATAAAGGATAATAAAGTCCCTAACTCCTCGGGTTGTAAGAGTCAAATGACAAAACTCATAGAAAATGTTAGGCTTTTTAAATTATTATTTTTAGAGACCGAGTCTCATTATGTTGCCCAGGCTGGAGTGCGGTGGTTATTCACAAGCGTGATCATAGAGCAGTACAGCCTTGAACTCTTGAGCTCATGTGATCCTCCTGCCTTAGCCTTCTGAGTTGCTGTGACTACAGGTGTGCCCCACCGTGCCCAGCAAGAAATTCATAGTTTTAGTGCCTGGTTTATAGTAAGTGCTCAATAAATGGTAGCCATTGCTGTTACATTCCAAGGCTATTCCTCAGTTAATTCAGTGAAAATTCAACCTCACTGTTAGTGGCACTATTCAGAGCCATAGCATCATCAACTTCATGGGAGACCATTCATGTCATATGAATCACAGCGAATAGCTTGCATGCCTTTATGCAGCAGCCCTGGCACCAGTGATATCCTTAGTACTCACCATGTGCTGAATCGATTTATCGCCAGATGCCATGGTTTTGAAGCTGGGCCCAACCCCAGATCTCAAAGGTATAATGATTGGTGATTCAACAAAGCGCATTTTGTCAGGCTCCAGGGCAGATGCCTCAACTCTTTACTTCCTTTGAAGTACAGGTTGCTCATATTTTAGGTTTATAGAACCATAAAATTTTAGCATTTTACTTTGAAAAACAACCCGGTGTAAAAGAATAGATGCTCACAAAAAAGATAAATCAAATGACTAGCCTTCATGTACAAAAGGATTCATAGCATCCTAGATAACCCCAGAAATCATCTTTTTGAAATGTCTCGTTCTTCTCTAGATGATCAAAAGGGACCAGAAAGATGGAGTGACTAGCCCAAGGACACACACCAGCAATGACAGAGGCAGGGCTGGGACGTGAGCGTCCTGATTTCTGTGCATTTTGGTTCTCTTAGGCAAAAATAGCCCTCCTGCCGTCTTCTCCACTCCGTTACCTGCCTTCTCCAACTCTGTTCAAGTTTCTCATGAGCTGAGTTGTTAGTGCCCGTGGGAGACTTGCCTTGCAGAAAGAAGACCAACATGTCACCTTGAATTTGATAGTGGAAACTAGGAAACGTGTCCCGGTAAGCATCTTTGCAGTCCTCTGACCCTCTGGCCTGTCATCTCAGTCTTTTGGTCTCTGGAAATATAATCTGTTTTTAGCGTTTAGTTAAATGATCAGTTTCTGGGTTCTAGGCTCAATGTAGAATTCCTCTTTTACTTCCTTTCACAGAAATAAGAATGTGTGCTCACCCTTCAGTAGTCATGAGAAATCTATGTCAAATAGTAAATGTTTTATTCTGTGTCATGTGTCAAGACCCTGGTAATTGATTACTAGCTCAGTGTGTGGGAGATGGATCGAGGTATAAAGTCAAGGCAAAAAGGGGAAATGCCTTCAAGTAAATGGGTTTGTTTGTCATTGTTTATTATCGGAGATGTCCTAACTATTAAAAAAAACAAACAAACCTGGAATAAGTAAAGCCTTCATAAGAGTTTTCCTACTCTGATAAAATACCTGCTCTGTTTGCTTTTTCTAAAAATCCACTTATAATTAATAACAGCCCTGATTCAAGATTTGGAAAATGTTTCTACATGTTTGAGGTATGGCCAAGCTGAATCCTCAGGTGTGGTATGTCAGGGCTGGACCAGCGCTTGGGTGATGTGGTGAGAGCTGGCACACAGACACATGGGGAGTCTGTCTGATGGCCAGGAGGAGAGGCTGCTGGAGGACAGGAGATCCAGGCAACAATCTTTAATAATGAAGCACTACCTAGCACCTCACTTCTCAGAGGGAGGCCAAAGGACCCAGGAGCTTGTTAGGAATGTGGGATCCCATGGTGGCCTGGAAGTACTGACTGGAGCTTCCGGTTCACATGGAAGTTGGTGGAGCACTGGCCGTGATCTTCTCTTTATTCTGACAAAACTGGCCATTCATTCGCTTAAATCCTTCAGTTTTCTCTTTGGTCTTAGAATGTTAACCAGAACCCCTGGCAGTGTCTTGCAGGCCCTGCAGGGCCAGCCTGGCCTCTAGCTTGTCTTGTCCACCCAGGGACAGGCTCTTTTTTTTTTTTTTTGCCAGCTGCAGCTTGACTGCAGCATCTCACGTCCATCTCCTGTCTTCACGTGGCCTCCTTCTGTGTGTCTTCACACGATGTTCTTCTGTGCATGTCTGCCCACATTTCCTTCTTATAAAAACATCATTTCCTATGAACCTCTGGCCACATTTTCATCAACTGGTCAATACGTAACCTTGTTTTATGTGTTTTCTGTCTAGAGACACCTTCTTAATATTGGTTTTTGGCTGATTAGCATTGAACTCAGGGCCAACAGCACTGCAGCTTGTGTCTAAGTGAAGCTCATATAAAACACAGATTTTCTCCAGAAGGCGCATCACAGCCTTCCAAGCTTAGGAACCCTAGAGGGCACTTCAGCACAACCCTCAGGGGCTAGCCTTTGGGCTTTGTAGGATCACTCGAAGACCCAGAAGAGGTGAAGCTCCTCCTCTCAAAGAATTACAGTTTGGTTAGGAAGAGTGTGCGTAGCTGAGCTGTGAATGGGCAGGGCAAGGGATACGACGGAAGACGTTACTTAGAACAGCTGCCCTAAAGCATTGTGGGATTTTCAGATGAGCATGGTTGGGAGCTGGAGGAGGAGGGATTACTGCAGGGGAGTGGTCTGTCAAGGCCTTGGGGAGAAGGAGGGTAGAGGATGGAGGTTAGGGCAAGAGGAGCAGAGGGCGTGGTGTGAGCAGGGAGGAGGAGGTGTCTGCAACAATGGGGGGACCCAAACCACGAGGGGAATATAAGGAAAAGGCGGGTGGCTCCCACAGCCACTGAAGGCAGTACGTGGCCTTCGGAGTTCACATACTGACACTTGTGCCCTGGCATGAGCAGGGCAGAGCTCAGAGGAAAGAGGATGCCGTGGCAAGCAGAAGAGAGAGTTATTGAAGCGTTGATCATCTCAGCCCACATTTATCTGAACAAAATTGTCAGAGCCCAGCCGGGCTCGGTGGCTCAGCCTGTAATCCCGCGCCTTTGGGAGGCTGAGGTGAGTAGATTGCCTGAGCCCGCGGGTTCAAGACCCGCCTGGGCAGCGAGACCTCATCTCTATAATAAATCAAAAAATCAGCCGGGCGTGGTAGCGCGCGCCTGTAGTTCCGGCTACTCAGAAGGCTGAGGCAGAAGGATCGCCGGAGCCCAGCAGGTCGAGGCTGCGGTGGCCGGGAGCGGCCACTGCACTCCAGTCTGGGTGACCGAGTGAGACTCCAACTCAAAAAAAAAAAAAAAAAATTGTCAGAGTTCATTTTTGGAGCAAATGAGTTACAGAAGGAAGAGACAGGTTAGAGTTGAAAAGAGGAGTCTAGCATCACACTATGAAGTCCTGTGGAATGGAGGCTTGAATGGGCATTGACTTTTGTTTGATCCCAGAGTCAACGTACATTTAGGTGTGAATAGGATGGAGACAGTTTGGAAGATACTTTGTTGTTGAATCCACGCTGGATGGACAAGGGAAAGACTGACTTAGACAGGCATCTGGAAGGCAGGGGAGCATTGTGTGGGCTGATGGAAGCAAGATGGTCAGAGATGATTTTCGAAGAGACAGTAAGGTAAAGAAAGCAGGGGCGACCATGACAGGTAACAGGGGAGAGTGGCGTTGAAGAAAGATGCTGGAGGGAGGAGTGAGAGTGCTTTCAGGCAAAAGTGGAAGCAAGACCAGAGTAGGATGCAGGTGAGCTCCGGAAGTAGAGAGAATAAGTCAGGAGGGAATGGCTAGCTGGTGAAAGACTTGAGGGAACCAAATTCATGGATTCCTTTAGTGCTTTGAGTGTCAATATTGGGGGTTCATGTGTTTGTGTAACCCAAATGTCTAGAAGATATGAGTTGGTTATCATAACTCTTTCCCACACCTGTCTTGTTCTGCCCACCCTTGACTTTTGGAGGAATACTACCTGAAAGTATTATTAGGCTCTGAGTGCCGGTCACCTCAAAGGGTTCCGCTGTGAGCGCAGCCAGGGGAGAAGTAGGTAAAGCCTAGCTTTGTGCAAGTCGCTGGGAGATGCCTGGGTTCTCCAGCCCGCTGGGTTTCTGCGGGTCCAGGCCCCTTGTGTGCATAGGACCCTGTCAGCAGCGAGCTGGCTTCAAGAACAGGCAGACCGGAGCCGTCCTGTTCCCCCTAGCCAGCCCCTGGGATGCGCGGGAGGGTGAGCAGAGGCAGGGGGCTCCAGGGCACGCCCCTGACTTCCCCCCCGCCCTCCCCACAGAAAGGGAAGATGGGAAAGGGTCAGGCAGTGGGGAGAGCTCTGCAGTGCAGATCCAACAGTCAGTAGCAGTCATGCCTGATGTACGTTTCTTTTTTGCACAGGGCACCATGCCAGTGGAGAGAATGCGCATGCGCCCGTGGCTGGAGGAGCAGATCAATTCCAACACAATACCTGGGCTAAAGTGGCTCAACAAGGTGAGTGCATCAGGGGTGTGTGTGTGTGTGTGTGTGTGTGTGTGTGTGTGTGTGTGTGTGAGAGAGAGAGAGAGAGAGAGAGAGACAGAGACAGAGACAGAGAGACAGAGAAAGGAACACAGAGAAAGAGAGAGACATGCCCATGCGGCCCGCTAAAAGTAAAATTGTTATTTATGTTTAAAATCTTAAGCATATACATTGCAAAAACCAGCCAATCAAAAATGATCATGAAACAGCAAGTTATCGTATCAAAAGGATTTTTATGATCTTCTCGGACCTCTAGCCTCAACCTCGAGTCACCAGTGTCAGCTCACTTTCAGTGTTTGGGTGACTGCTTTTGGGAAGCTCCTTGCTGTGTTTTTCTGCAGCGATTCTTACCCTCTTCCTTCTCCACATCCCTGCCTTGCTGTCCCTGGCTTTCCGGGACTCGAGGACACGGGAACTCCAGGATTGTCTGTTGAGAATGGAGCATGTTGCTTTTCTTCTCAATGAGATCTATTTAAAGAAAACTTTCATTTTGTCTTTTAAAAAAACTATTCTTTGTACCTCGCTCATGAAACCATTTGTTCCCACCTGTCCTGCAAAAGAAGTCATTGTGTCCTCAACATAAGTTTAAACACTCCCTTACTTTAACCTCAAAACTCTCAATTTGATTGATCCTAGCTGTTCAGGGTGAAGCAGAATGAAATAATGTAAGTAAAAATAATTTTTAAAAATTTCTAGTAGCATGTAATCTAGAAAAGCAACTAAATATAATGCACCGTTCCTTCTTTGAGGAGACCCATGGGAGAAGTTTTCCTCCTCTTACTAGGAATTGTGGTGATTCTTCTGAGCAAATGCCTTTTTCCTCTCCTCCACCCCCTCCTCTTTTCTTGTTTAATCTTAAGCACACGGTGAATAACTTACTGGTCAGGCTTTATCTTCATATCAGGTACAAGAACTTAGAGCCAGATTGTAGACTGTGGCCTGCTTCTAGCAAGTGGACAGTATTGCAGCATGGATTTGTCTTTTTTTCTTTTTGGTTCACTGTGATCACTCCTGGCTTTATTTTATCTTTTCAGATATCTCTCAAATCTTATTTCTTTTTGTTCTTTTCACCTCATACACTGATTTTTAATTCCATGGGTATTGAATTCATCTGTTTGAGTCCTTTCTCAAACATGGTGAGGTATAAAGTGAATAGAAATTATTTAAATAAACTGTATGGTTATTTTAAGTGATCTATCATTATCGTAAGGTCTTGTGACAAACAGTATATCCTCAGATGCCTGCTAGAGCTAAAGATTTTAGATTTTGATGTGTAGTTAGCCTCTTGAAAAGAAACAAACAAGAAATCGGGTTGCTCCTTCACCTGCTGAGTTAGCAAGGGCACAATGGAGGGGTGAGGAAAGAGGAGATGACAGAACAGAAGAGGAGACAGGGTAGTAAATAGCAATGATGAAAGCTAACATTTACTAAGCACCTACTGTGTGCCAAGTCCTCTTCTAAGCGAGGTCCATGCTTTAACTCACATCATCACCACTGTGCAGAAGGCACTGTTAGATTTTCCGTTTTACAGATAGGGTAACTGAGGCACAGAGAGGTTAAGTAGGATTCAGTTTTGAAAAACAAGATAACATTGCCTTTTTTGATTTAGAGTGGGAGAGTAAAGCAAATGCTTCTGAATTCTGAGGAGAAGTGAGTTGTCTGTTTTTGCTTTTGGTTTCTTTTTAACACATCCGCCAGTTTGGGTTGGCTTGATGCTGTGGAGGACAGACAGTGCCATCCCGCCTCCTGCCTCAGCGAGGCACTTGACATGCTTCAGTTAGTTGTCCTCTGTAGTAGATCAACCTCGTGTCCCCACCCCAAACATATGTCCACATCCTAACCGCTGGCACCTGTGGCTTTACCTTATTCGGAAAAAGTTTTTGTAAATGCCGTTAAGGCCCTCAAGATGAAATCATCCTGGATCATCTGGTGGGGCCCTAAAGCCAGTGACAAGTATCTTTATAAGGGACAGAAGAAGAGTAGACACGCATATAGAAAGAAAGCCATGTGAAGACTGAGGCAGGGACTGGAGTGATGCAGCCACAAGCCAAGGGGCTCTGGGAGCATCAGAAGCTAGAAGAGGCAAGGAAGGACTCTTCCCTGGAGCCTTTTAAAGAAATGCAGCCCCGCCGACACTTTGATTATAGAATTCTGGCCTCCAGAACTGTGGTAGAATACCTTTCTGTTGTTGTAAGCCACCCGGTTTGTGGAATTTGTCCTGACGGCCCTCTAAGGGTTGTTTCCTTGCTGGGACTCTCCACTGAGATGCTTTCTTTCATCCTCTTGGTCCCTGTTTTTCTGATACAGGACTAGAAAGCAAATGGATTTCTCTTGGTGTAAAGGAACACTCAAACCCTTTCAGGTGACCGTTACCTGCTGGCTTTCATCATCCAGCTCTTAGCTCTAGAGTTCTCTTCCCAAGGCATAGAAGGAAAGGAGGCCTGTCTGCCATCTTCCCAGGCTCCTCTGCTGGAGCTGAGTATGAGCCAGGCAGGTGAAGGAGAGTGTGCCCGTGACTGCCTCTCAGCACCACACTGGCATGGTTGGCCCATGGGCCCTGTCCAGCGGGCGTCCCACTGGAGCCTGGGCGTGTACATGGGTATTGTCATCACTGTCACTGCAGGCCTCAGGAGGGGTCAGGATCTTTTCTCTCCATGCCTCCACTCCCACAGGGGATCTTTTACATGTTTCTGCTAACTTAGTGTTGTTCATCTGTCCACTTGCGTACTTCACTGAGAGCCTACTGTTATTTCCTTTCCATTCACAGGCATTCTGCCTAGGAATCCCTGTTTATATTTTGAGTGGTTTAGGGTCATTCCAAAGTCTCTTTTCCCATAGAAGGCAGTTGTGACTCTTGGAAAACACAGTCCGTGGGACTTTGCAACTCACTCTGCCTCTGTCAGTCCTCAGGATGTGTTTGTGTTTGTGGTGAGGAGCTCTAGGCTGGCTGCCCCATGCACAGGTTCTGTGGCTGTCTAGATCATTACGGCATGCTCAGTGCTGGCCTCACGCCTGGTGAGTAGGAGGCACTCCAGAAGGATTGTTCTGGAAGACAAGAACGAATGTTTTGTACTTGAAGAGGAGCTACACTAGTGGCTGTGTTTTTCTTCTTTTTATTTTTTTTATTTTTTGAGTAGTAGTCTCACTCTGTCACTCAGGCTGGAGTGCAGTGGCACTCACGGCTACTGCAGCCTCTACCTGCTGGGCTCAGGCAGTCCTTCTGCCTTAACTTTCCAAATAGCTGAAACTGCAGGTGCATGCCATCACGCAGGGCTAATTTTTTTTATTTATTGTAGAGACGAGGTCTTGCCAAGTTGAACCCCTGGGCTCAGGCAATCCTCTTACCTCTGCTTCCCAAAGTGCTGGGATTATGGGCGTGAGCCACCGCGTCTGACCAGTTTTTGTTCTCTTAAGATAATCAGGGTTATGAACACAGGTTGGCAGTTGTCATGTGGCTCTCTCAAATAGAGAATCCATGCAACCCAATACATTCTTAGGAAGAGCAAAAGAGGGGGTTAGTTCATACCTTAAATTTGTTTCTACCTCCTGTTGTCTTAGTTTGTTTTCTATTGTTTACAACAGAATACCTGAAACCGTGTAATTTATAAAGAAAAGGAATTTATTTCTTACAGTTATCAAGGCTGAGCTGTCCAAGATAGAGGGATCCCATCTGGTGAGCCCTTCTGGCTGGTAGGGACCCTCTGCAGAGCTCCAAAGTGACTCAGGGCCTCACATGGTGAGGGGGCTGAGGGTACTAGCTCAGGTCTCTCTATCTCTTTCTGTAAAGCCACCGTCCTACTCCCATGACAACTCATTAATCCATTAACGTTAATCCAGTAATCCCCCGAATGGATTAATCCATTCATGAGGGCAAAGCCCTCACAACCTAATCACCTCTTAAAGGCCCACCTCTCCTTACTGCCAAGTTGGGGATTAAACATCAACATGAGTTTTGGAGGGGACAAATATTCACATCATAGCACCTACTTTTGGAAAGTTTTAAGGGAGGTGGTAAGGGAATGGGTCTTTTGGATTCCTCTGAAAGAACTGTGAGGGTTTGCAAAGCAGCATTATAACTGGCTCGAAAATGGGTCCTTGGCTGGGCCATTTCCTCTTTATGATGACCATTTGCAAGTGTACATAGCATGTTTGAATAGCCTAATGTCTTAAAAAAATAGGAGAGCAAATTCCTATGTGTCCACATCTAGATTTATTAACATTTTGTCTTATCTTTGTGGGTATGTGTGGTTTTTAAAAGCAATGTACACCCTGACAGTGTACATTTATAAGACTTAAGGACATTTTCTTATATGTCCATAATATTATCAATTAGGCAAAATTAATGAATAATCATTTTTCAATATCACTGCCCCATTCATATTCAAAATGCTTTTGTTCAAATCAAAATCCAGAGAAGGCTCACAGATTGTGTCTGGTGTTTGTGACTGAGACTCTCCTGAATGAGCAGTAGCCCCTTTTTTTCCCTCTTGCCATGAACTTGTTGGGTAGACCAGGTTAGTTCCGGATTTGTCCAAATGCGTGTTTGTGGTTCCCTGGCCCATTTCTTTTCTTTTCTTTTCTTTTTTCACTCTGTCGCCCAGACTGGAGTGCAGTGGCCACTCCCGGCCACCGCAGCCTCGACCTGCCGGGCTCCGGCGATCCTTCCGCCTCAGCCTTCCAAGGAGCTGGGAACTACAGGCGCACGCTACCACGCCCGGCTGATTTTTTGATTTATTGTAGAGATGAGGTCTCGCCAAGTTGCCCGGGCGGGTCTCGAACCCACGGGCCCAGGCAATTCACTCACCTCAGCCTCCCAAGGCGCAGGATTACAGGCTGAGCCACCGAGCCCGGCTTGGGCCATTTCTTGAGGCAGCCACATCCAGGCTCATGGTGTCTCTCATAGTTCCGTGGGATTCCCTACCCGGTTGTTGATGTTATTTCCTTTTAGAGATCCGCCTGGAGTCAGGTGCCGAGGTACAGGGAGCGTCAGGCAGTTCCAAACCTTTCCCTTTTTTTCCACTTTAAAAGCAGGCTGGTGTTTGTGTAGGCATCAGGCCCTCTCTCAACGGGGTAAGGAGTACAAACAAAAACAGCAAACTGATTGGAAAATCTTATAAATATTGGGGAAAAGAAGAGGCAGAGGGAGATAACAGAACTAGTTTGCACACGGGGCCAAGATGCGTTTGTTCTGCCTTGCTGGCGATTATCTTAAATGCTTTTCTTGACTCAGATAGCACTCAGCTCTTCTGCCCCCAGATGGGCAGAGTTCTATCCATAAGGACACATGAGTAGACCCTGGTCTACAGAGTCCTTCCACATGCAATGTGTCTGGCCACCACGCAAACAGGACTGTTCACTTGGGGACTCTGAGCCACCTGACACGTGCTGATGCCACAAGTTCTCCACAGACACATAGCAACACTCTCAGTCCTGTAGAACAGAGGCATCTATGACCAGAATGTTTAGTGGTCAGAATCTCTTTCGGTGTCAAAAGTGAACCTCACCTTGTTTTACCTTTCAATACAGTCTTTTTTCCTAAAAGAAAAAAAAGAGATCTGTGATCTGATTTTAATGGTATCTGTGGTACATTTATTAGTCGTTTATTTTTTTCCCTGCAATATGAAAAACTAGTTAAGTTATACGTGGGTTTGTTTCGGTTTTTGTTGTTGTTGTTGTTGTTGCTGCCATTTTAACTGTTTCAAAGTGTACAATTCAGTGACATTAAGTGCATTCGCACTGTTGTGCAACCGTCACCACTATCTAGTTCCAGAACTTTTCATCCCTTTAAAGGGAAACACTGTACCCATGAAGCAATCACTTCCTATTTCCCTCTCCCTGCCCACTGATCTGCTTTCTCTCTACAGCTTTGCCTTTCCTGGATATTTCAGGTACATGGAGTCATCAGTATTTGACTTTTTGTGTCAGGCTTCTTTTACTTAGCATAATGTTTCCAAGGCTCATCCGTGTGGAAGCATGTGCGTGGACCCCATTCCTTCCGGGGGCTGAATATCATTCCACTGTATGCATATGCCACATTGTGTTTATTCGTTCATTAGCGGATGGACATTGGGTTGTTTCTCTCTTTGGCTTTTGTTAGTAGTGCTGCCTTGAATAATTGTGTATAAGTTTTTGTTTAGATACTTGTTTACAGTTCTTTGGGTATATATTCAGGAGTGAAATCCCTAGTCATCAAGTAATTCTGTGTATATCTTTTTGAAGGATGGCCAAACTGTTTTCCACAGTGGCACCATTTTACATTCCCGCTAACAATGTATGAGGATTCTGGTTTCCACATCCTCACCGACACTTGTTGTTTGCATATCTTTTCCGGGGAAAAGGTCTGTTTGAGTCCTTTGCTCATTTTTAGAGGACCCATAGTAGACATTATTAGGGTCAGTTATTGCTCTTGTCGTTTCATAATTTTTGCATAGTTTATGTGAGACTAGGTTTGGTGTTTGTGTGTATGTGTGTGTGTGTGTGTCTGTATGCCTGTTCATTCGTGCAGATGCTTAAAATGATCTGCTTTATCAGAATCAACTTTGCATCTTGCAAGAGAGATTTCAGATTGTGTCACCCTAGAACTCCTTTGCCCTAGAAAAAAGTAAAACTGCCAATTTTTAAGGTTCTCCATCTTTAAGCATAAAGCTTTATATTCTGGGTGTGTGTTTCAGGAAAAGCTCTTGCACTGAAATCCGTTTTTGTTTGTATTCATTCTTATGTGAACATCAAAAAACTGCATTAAGTGATTTGGCTTTCTGATTTTCATCTACATTTAAAAAAATTCTACTCAGCCCTTTTCTGATCACTGTCCCTTTGAAATGGGTGAAGCTGGTTGGGTACAGTGGCTCAGCCTGTAATCCCAGCACTTTGGGGGTTCAAGACCAGCCCGGGCAACTTGGAAGGCTGAGGTGGATGGATTGCCTGAGCCCAGCAGGTCAAGGCTGCAGTGACTGTGAGTGTGCACTCCAGCCTGGGCAACAGAGTGAGACTCCAACTCAAAAAAAAAAGAAAGAAGGAAAAAGAAATGGGTGAAGCTGAAATCCTGCAGTGTCTGGAGGATATAGAATGGACAATGGGGAGTTTATGGAAAAAAAAAAATCTCTTACTTTTGGTTCTTCTTTATTAACTGACTTTTTAAAATATGGTTGAGTTTTCCCTTTTAACAGTTTTTGGGAAAACTCTCCAATATTCTGAGATATTCTTAGTTCCAGCTTTGTGACAGGTTCTGTGGAGAGGTGCTGAGTCCCTTTCGGGACAGCTGGGACCCTTTTTCTATTTTGCTGTGTGAGACCAAAGTGGTGGAAACTCCCTACTGACATTTCCCTTCTTTCCTCAGCGTGTAGTATAGGGATCCTCAGACCAAACAGTCATCAGAACTACCCTAAGAGCTCTAAAAAAATACAGTTTCCGCACTTGAAGAGGCCAAGGTGAGAGGATTGTCTGAGTTCAGGGGTTCGAGACCAGCCTGGGCAACTTGGCCAGACCTCGTCTATATAATAAATGAAAAAAAAAAATTAGACAGGCATGGTAGCACATGCCTGTAGTTCCAGCTACTTGGAAGGCTGAGGTGGAAGGATGCCGGAGCCCAGCAGATCGATGCTGGGGTGGCTGTGGGCATGCCACTGCACACTGGCCTGGGCAACAGAATGAGACTCTAACAACAACAACAAAAATACAATTTCCTGGTGCTTAATTGCCACAGAATCCAAGCCTACAGGTTTGTCATAAAGCAAGGAATCTTCTAAATCTTAAAGCTGGAAGGTAACGTGTGGGGTGATTAAGTAAGTGAATGTGGGATCACGTGATCTCAGTTTTGAACTTGCACCCTTATTACTGTGCACTTATCCGCTGACTGGTTTAATTCTGTTCCTCAGTTTCCTCAATTGTAAAATGGAAACTATGGTCTTTACTTAGCTCATCAGTTTGTTGTAGGAAACAAAGTCGAGCCCACGTGGATAGGTGTGTTCAAATGTACAGTACCACAGGGACCTTAGTAACTGCGGTGCTATCAGAAAAGCTGGTGAACCAGTTTCACATATGTAGTTTTACTATGAGCTTGACTGTATTTCTGTTTTTTAAAATTGGGGTCTTACTCTGTTGCCAAAACTGGAGTGCAGTGGCATAATCACAGATTACTGCAGTCTCGACCTTTTGGGCTCAAGTGATCCTTCTACCTCAGCCTCTCGAGTAGCTGGGACTACAGGCATGCACCACCACATCCAGCTATTTAAAAAAATTTTTTTTTGTAAAAAGAGTGTCTTGCTATGTTGCCTAGGCTGGTTTTGAATTCCTGGACTCAAGCAATCCTCCTGCCTTGACCTCCCAAAGTGCTGGGATTATAAGCATGAGGCCCCATGCCGGGCTTATGACTGTGTTTCTAAAGCATTTGTTTCTAGTCATGTGTTTCCAGAGTTGATTTAAGCAGTTTTGAGTTCTCTTTTGGACTGTAAGAGAGATAAAGAGATAGTCTGATAAAAGCATTATATTGAAGGACTTTCCTCCAGAAAATAAGTGTCGTCTTGTGATCTATGCATCTTTGCACCTTTTGCTGTTTCAGTGCAGGGTAGTGGATGCATAAGGATTAGCACATTAGACCAACATTTTCTCTTTCTGTTGGATTCACAAGCAGGTGGAGATACTTTGTCTCTGACAGTGGCCTCAAATCAGCCTGTAATCCTAGCACTTTGGGGGTTTAAGACCAGCCTGGGCAACTTGGTGAGACCTCATCTCTACAGTATAAAGCGGTATTATTTTGAAAAGTTGCCTAATTTTTAATTTACCTAAGGCATTGGAGTTACTGTTGACCCAATGATGAGAATAAATTATAATAATAAACGTGAAAAGTTTCCATCAGGGGCTGTTTATCTGTGGTCCTATAAGAAAAGAGGCTCAAATAAACACGTTGACACATGCCAGATCATCACTTTGACCTTGGAATACATTCCTGCTCTGCAAGACTTTGAGAATCTCACTTGTTGTAGGCTGTCAAGATTTGAGACCTAGTGGGGAAGTGGGTTGGGTTTACAGTAGATTTTCCTGATGAGTAACCAACCCAGTGATGCTTCGTGGGGAATCTTACTAGCCAGAACTTCAGAATGCTTTGCAATAGTGGTCTAAGACACATGGCTGCAGTTCTTATTTACTCTTTTTTTTTTTTTTCAGGAAAAGAAGATTTTTCAGATCCCCTGGATGCATGCTGCTAGACATGGGTGGGATGTGGAGAAAGATGCACCACTCTTTAGAAACTGGGCAATCCATACAGGTATTAAACTCCCCGCATCGTTGATAGAGGCAAGCACTATTGCTTATTTTTGCTTTATTACACATAAAATATCCTGGCTTATGGCCTCATGAAAATAACTCTGAAAAACCTGCGACCTGTCTCTAGGAATATCCAGGACACATGGAGTGCAAACTGCACCACTCAGAAGTGACGGGCCACCCACCCCACAGAATCTGAGTCCTTAAGTTTCCTGGTATCCTGATCAATTTCTCAGGTCTTACCAGAGGATAAACTCATTTGTTCTGGAGCTACAAACTTGGGGACTTTATCTCCCCAAATTTACTTATGACTAAATTTAAGTTGGGAGCCATTTACAGGAATGGACTTTTTACTAAATGTTTGCAGGTCAGGTGAGAGGGAGGCACTCAGGTTTCTTCTGCTTCCTGACTTTCCAGTTGTCTGTGTTACTTACACTGAGTCACCATTCTTCTGCCTGTATATTTTTCTCTCAAGCTGTTTGGTAGAAACAGGGTGACCAACTTGTCCCAGTTTTCTTGGAACAGTTCAGGTTTTTAATTTTTTAATTTTTTGAATTTATCTTTCTCTATTTTAAAGATGCAGGGTACAATTCAGGATTAGGTAGAAAAGTGGTCCTTGTACAAGCAAACGTTGGGTCTCCCTTTGCTCTCCACTTTGCCTGGTTGGAGAAAAATATGGAACACTTTATGAACTTGCATGTCATCCTTGTGCAGGGGCCATGCTCATCTTCTCTAAATCGTATGCTGCCAAAGCAAGCATGAGCTGGACTCGGTGGCTCAGCCTATAATCCCGCGCCTTGGGAGGCTGAGGTGAGTGGATTGCCTGAGCCCGTGGGTTCGAGACCCACCTGGGCAGGCGAGACCTCATCTCTACAATTAAAAAAAAAAAAAAATTAGCCGGGCACGGTAGCGCACGCCTGTAATTTCGGCTACTCGGAAGGCTGAGGCGGAAGGATCGCTGGAGCCCAGCGGGCGAGGCTGCGGTGGCCGGGAGCGGCCACTGCACTCCAGTCTGGGCGACAGAGTGAGACTCCAACTCAAAAACAAAACAAAACAAAGCAAGCGTGAGTTCAGGTTTTAAAAATAAAATTCCCACACCCCAAGAACCTTCTCAGCCCCCAGCAAATCAGAACAGTGAGTCACTGTAATTGTAGCCTGAAATGAAAAGGTTTTTCTGTACTACCTGGCCAGCAATACTATGTTTCTAGAAATTTTTAATTCTGTATCTAATGTTTTCCCTCTTACCTTTGCCTGTTTTGTTAGGAAAGCATCAACCAGGAGTAGATAAACCCGATCCCAAAACATGGAAGGCAAATTTTCGATGTGCCATGAACTCCTTGCCTGATATTGAAGAAGTTAAGGATAAAAGTATAAAGAAAGGAAATAATGCTTTCAGAGTATACCGGATGCTGCCCTTATCCGAGCGACCTTCTAAGAAAGGTAAAGATACTTACTGACTAAAGAAAACATTTATTGGCTAAAAAAATGATCACTTAATACATACCATAGGCCAGGCTCGGTGGCTCAGCCTGTAATTCCAGAGCTTTGGGAGGCCAAGGTGAGTGAATTGCCTGAGCCCACGGGTTCAAGACCTGCCTGGGCAACTTGGCGAGACCTCATCTCTACAATAAATCAAAAAAATTAACCAGGCGTGTTAGCACACGCCTGTAGTTCCAGCTACTTGGAAGGCTGAGGCGGAAGGATCGCCGGAGCCCAGCGGGTCAAGGCTGCAGTGGCTGGGAGTGGCCACTGCACTCCAGTTTGAGTGACAGAGTGAGACTCCAACTCAAAAAAAAACACCATGGTACCTTTGTGATTTCTTTATTTCTAGTTCAAGGGTAGAACACTCTGTTCATACCCTAGGTGATCATTCTGACCTTTCTTAGCTTGGAAGCTTGACTTTCAAGTCATCAAAGGCAGTAAAAGATACATTTGGAATGTTGGTCACATACAGATTAAAGCAACAGGTCCACTGAGAGTTTGAGAAATAATTTAATGTAGGGGAAATGTTTCTGTATGGTTCCTTCATGAATTAATCCAAAACTACATTTTTGTTGCCACAGGAAAGAAACCAAAGACTGAAAAAGAAGACAAAGTTAAGCACATCAAGGTAATCTTTAGTTGTCCAGAGAGAAAACTGAAGTTGTGTACATTTTAATGATTCATATTTTGTTTTTTAAAAAAGTAATGTGACCTCTGTGAAGTGTTTAATCTCTCCTGTCTTATGTGTCTACATGTCTCCTCTTTGTCATGTACCCACTTGCAGACACAGGTACACACATCCCCTGCTTAATCCAATTTTCCCAGAAATTTATGAATGAAGTCACAAATTCACACTGAGCTCGGCTGTCTGAAGCCTCCATCTGGTCACCACAACGGTTGCCAGCTGGTCACTTCGTTCCGGCTAAGCTCCAGCAACCAGCTTAGGGCTGATACTATTAAGTATATTTTCAGGCTATTAACTATATTTTAATACATATTAAAGGTTACATCCTTCTATTAAAATGTCTTAACTATATTTTATATACATCCCATCATGGACCATTGGGGACACTCTACTCTACACGAGAACTCTGTCAGTGTGGTTCTCAGTAGTTTTTTTCCCTGCTTCTCTATAGAACCATCGCTCTTACTTCCCAAGGGCTTTCCATAGGGCTGTGTGTGTGCGCGTGAGCTTTTCAGTAGGCCATGTAGTCTAAACATCCCTGCAGTTTGAGGGTCTTTGTGCATAGGTCAGGCAGCTCTTGTTAAATAGTGAGAGAGGAGTCAGAATTAGGGGTAAGCTTCAGTCACTTCGCAGAGAGCAAACACTAAAATCCCAGGCCCAGAGACCAGCAGAGAGATGACCGAACTCACTGACCTTCATTTGCAAATGAAGAAACTGAGGCTCAAGAGAGTTGAGTGCCACATGCCCAAGGTCACCTGGTCATCTAGAACTGAATGAACTTGAAGGAGATGTTACATAGTCTGAGTTGTAATCTAGGATAACTGTTAAAGAAAAAACCTAACTGTTAAGACAGCACAGTGTTTAAAAAAAAATCCAGTAAGTTAAAATAGTCAGGAAAACAACCCCAAAATAATTTACTTTAGATATAAAGTTAGACTTGTGAAGCTAGTTAGATTTTGAGGAAAAACTTAGATAAATGGTTAGTCTCAATGATATTTACCTCTACAATGGAAAATAAATATTTTAGGCAGAGTATTTTAGCACTGATGCTTTCAGTTTCACTTTCAATATTTTTAGTTTCTGACTTATTTTAAATATTGCACAGGGTTGAAGATCTTGTTTTGTTTTAACTTTTCGTTATGAAAAAATTTTATGCACATTGAAAGGAGACAAATGAATAAACCTTACCCCATAGACCATCTCCCCAATTTCAGCTTTAACAAGCTCCTCGCCAATTTTGTTTTATCAGTACCTCCACCCACGTCCTGACTTCTCATATGAAATTGCATATGTGCAATCATTTCTGACATGCAAAAACAATTTCTTACGGTTCAGTTTAATATTTAAAGCAAATTCCAAACATCATATCATTTTTTCCATAATAGTGCAGCATATATATTTAAAAGATAAGTGCTCTTTAAAAATACTGCAGTACAATTATTGTGCCTGAGAAAATTAACAGTAATTCCTTAATACCATAAGATTTCCAGCCAGGCTCGGTGGCTCAGCCTGTAGTCCCGCGCTGTGGGAGGCTGAGGTGAGTGGATTGCCCGAGCCTGCGGGTTCGAGACCCGCCTGGGCAACTTGGCGAGACCTCATCTCTACAGTAAATAAAAATGAGCCGGGCGTGGTAGCGCGCGCCTGTCGTTCCAGCTCCTTGGAAGGCTGAGGCGGAAGGATCGCCGGAGCCCAGCGGGTCGAGGCTGCGGTGGCCGGGAGCGGCCACTGCCCTCCAGTCTGGGCGACAGTGAGACTCCAACTCGGAAAAAAAAAAAAAAGATCCATATAAGATCCACATGTTATTTTTGGAGGTCTTTTAAGTATTTTTTAATCTATAGGTTTTCCCTACATTGCTTTTTTAAAAAACTTCCTTTTTCTTATAATCGAGAAAACCTAGTTGTTAGTAATATCAACTTCCTCACAGTTTGGATTTTTTAAGGCCCACATTTTGATGAGTATTGTTTAGTCGGAAAAGTATAGCTTGCCTACAAATACGTGATTTTGAAGAATTGCTGCAATCGTGTGATTGTATCATATTTACTATTTTCACAGCACTGAACAGAAAGTTAATACATATTTATTTGTATTAATTTGAATAGATTTCAAATGCATAAGCATTTGTTGACTAAACAGATGTATAAGTAAATATAATATGTGGGATGGGAGAGAGGGGATTTACATTAAGATGCAGACTTAATTTTTCAGTCACAGCTATTGGAAAAATAAGAATGAAATAATAGATGTTCTAGATGTTCACTTTTCAGCCCATTTTGCTCAAACTTGTCCACCATATCCCATCAAATGTCAGGTGCCATGATTATAAGATACATCATTTTTTGTATCTCTAAGAAAGAAAAGCTGCTTTCACCGAAACCATGACATGTAATTGGTAATGAAACACATCCCATTTCAGAGATGTGGAAATGCGAGGTAATGTGCATTTTAGAATTGATGACATGTGCTGTTCTTGTACGTAAAGGCCGTCTGCAGTCACATCAGCCTCGGTGGTGTCCTCATTTGACCACTGAAATGAGCACGTTGTGGAAGATGCTGCCCTGGTTGGGCTTGGGCATATTGGCCCAGCGAAGAGAGAGTTTCCTCTTGGGTACAGCCATGTGGGTCAAGTTCCATTTTAGCAAAGTGTATGTTATAAAACCCTTGTGCAATAGAGATGGTTAATATCTGAAACTTGTCCCTCAAAGGGACATTGTTCCTAGATGCAGGCAGGTGATTCATCAGACATAAGCACAGCCTAGGTTTTGAATTTAAATCTCCTTGCATTATGCCTTACTGTGCAGCGAGGGAACATGGGTGAAGCCAGTGGGTTTCCCATGTTCTGTGGTTCATGGCTGCTCAAGTCGTTGTGCTGACTTATTTCTGTAGAATGTTTCGAAAGTTATCTCCTGAGAGTATCTGAAACTGTACAAAGAACTTTATCCTTACTGAGTTATTAAAGTATTACTTTTTATTGTATATCAAAATGCCTAACTCTGGATTAACATGTCCTGTGTGAATATGGAACTGGATAGACTAGGTGGGTTTCTTCTGCTAAGAAAATTTGTCTTGTGTGCAGTAACTAGGTATGAACACTTACTATTGAAGCAGCTTTTCCCAGTTTTCAAGTCGAGTTGAAGTTTTAGTCAGCAAACCACGTTTAGAACTTGTGGACCAAGTGTCAGAATTTTTCTTGGGGTCATTCAAAAAGATTTATCTCCATGCTATATGTTCCGCCCAGAAAATAGTTTCCTCTAGAATGGAAGGCCCAAAGCCTATTGGCCATGTAGTAAGTGTAGAAACTCTACCTCTTTGATATTCTTTTTGAGTATATCCTATGTATTTGGTGAGCCATTTTTTATTTGAACAAAGCCCTATCCATGTGGAGGTAACTGTCTATCTAAGGAAGTAAGAACAAGAAAAATAACAGTGAGCAGTACTAGATTGTATGTCATACATGCATAGAAGTGTTTCAAAAAATAACATTGGTCAGGCGTGGTGGCCCACACCTGTAATCCCAGCACTTTGGGAGTCTCAGGAAGGAGGATTGCCTGAGGCCAGGCATTCGATAACAGCCTGGGCAATGTAGTGAGACCTCGTCTCTACACACACAAACACACACAAAATCAAAAAAAATAGCCAGGCATGGTTGTGCACACCTATAGTCCCAACTACTCAGGAGGCTGAAGTGGAAGAATCACCTGAGCCCAGCAGGTCTAGGCTGTGGTGAGTCCAGCCTGGGCAACAGAGTGAGACTCTGACTCAAAAAAATAAATAAATAAATGACGGAACAAGTTGCTCTATGGAACTTCAGAAAAGGCCAAGAACAATAAGGATAGAAATTGGCAACACAGGAGGGTGGTAGTTGACATTTTTTACCCGCTTCCCCCAATTCCAAGAAGGGGTTATGATCTCATGGCGTTCTTCCTATGATGGGCACATCATCTGCCTTTTGCACACGGAGGAAATGGAAACACAGAGACTGATTTGTTTTTCCAAGGCTGCACTGCTTTACAAAGCTGGGATTTGAATCCAAGTTCATCCATCCCCAGAGCCCAGATCCTGTCACCTTACCCGGTGTCTCTCAGCCTTCTGGAAGCTGTGGGACCAGAGCCAGGCCTTGAGGGTGAACAGGTCATTCTCCAGCCCTAGGAGCATCAGGAATGAAGGCCTAGAGATGAGAGTTATTGTTTGGTATTTGCTGGATGAGTCAAGAAACTAGCTTAATTAGTAGGAGTGTGTGTGAGAGAACAATGGGAAATAAAGACATGTAGGTAGGGCAGGTATAAATGGAGACTTCCCGCCTCAGAGGGTTGTTTGCAGATAAAATACGCATGCTTCGCTATTAGAAAGTGCCTCCAGAATAGAGCCTTCATGTTCAGATGGAGACATGATTGAGAATCGCCTCTGAAGTCACTTTCTAAAGAGCAGGCCTGGTCTGGATTCGTTTTGAATGGAGACCTCTGGGTAGATGTGGTAGACAAGCAGGTATTGGCTCAGCAGAGCTCTCTAATAGAACTGCTGGCTCTACCAGTGACACGAACTGGAATGAAACCCAGTGTATCCCTGGCAGGGCTGTTGCTGGAGCAATCCCCTCATTGGCTAGAAGAGGCCTTCAGTTTTTAAACTTTAAGCAGATGAGAACACGTGCTGGCAACCTGGTTGAAAAACAGATAATGTTAGAGCCGCCCTGGATGAAACAGAGCATTAGCCTTATCCTGCCTGTTCTGGGTCCTCCCTTCCTCTACAGTGGCTCATGAGGGGAGCTCAGAACGCAATTTGAAAACTGGTGGGCTCTATAATCCCAGCACTTTGGAAGGCTGAAGTGAGAAGATTGCCTGAGCCCAGGAGTTTGGGACCAGCCTGGGCAACATGGAGAGACCTTGTCTCTGTTTAAAAAAAAAAAAATTCAGCTGGGTGTGGTAGTGCGTGCCTATAGTGCCAGCTACTCAGGAGGCTGAGGCAGTGAATCACCTGAGTCTAAGGGGTCAAGGCTATGGGGAGCTGTCATCGTGCCACTGCACAGTTAGCTTGGGCAACAGAGTGAGACCCCGATTCAAAAGGAAAAAAGAAAAGAAATAATAAAAGAAAACATGTGGGCTAAATGCTCTCTATGGACAGTTTTATGAAATGAGGCACATTTGAACTCCTTGAAGCAGGAGGGAATTGATATTCAAGGGAGGTCTTTCTTGTCACAGTAGGAAGGAACAGAGGGCAGGAGACACTGCAGTAGAAACATGGTAGTTGGTGCCACTGAAATGGAGAAGAAGAGACGTTTCTCCAGAGAATGGAAGAGGGTATGAAGGTTGAAGGTAGGAATGAATTAAAGAGGAGGCCCCTGAGTTTTGACCTTAGAGAGAAAGAATGTTGGAACTGGAGCTCATTTTGTGGAGAAGGGGGAGTTTCACTTTGCACGTGTTGAGTTTGAAATGACAGAGCCCTGAAAGCGCATGTTAGACAGAAAGTTGGGTCTAACAGGTGTGGAGCTCAGGGAAGTGCCCCAAGTGCAAATGTGTAGTCATTGAGCATTTGACAACGGATGCCTTCTCCAAGAGAGACGCTATGTGAGATGAAGACAAAGACCCAAGGAGAAGAGGGAGGTGAAAGTGAGCCAAGGCAAAAGTCAACAGGGAAGTTGCAGTGAGAGGAGGGAGGAAGAGAAGGAAGATGGCCTCATTCCAAGAAGAGAAGAGAAGAGAAGGAAAGCATTTTTAGGACTGGACAGGAGGCTCCCGCCTGTCTTTCTAGAACTTCTGTTTCTAGCGGCATCATGACCTCCATGGTGAGGTTGTGTGCACGCTCCGAGTTCCAATTCCCCAGCCCACTTTATGAAGCCCAACTGTCAGTCTGAAAGTTTTGTTAGCAGAGAGACCTCGAGATGCCCTTGACTTTGGCTTTGAGGAGGCTGGCTTTGCACTAGAGCTGGCTTTGCACTAGGCTGGCTTTGCACTAGACGCATTAGAGCATTTGCAGGGGGGCAGGGAATGGGGGTGGATTGGGGGCCCATCGTACTTGGCGTCAGGAAAGGGGAAACTGAGAGAAAGGGCTTTAGTGTGAGGATGAGACAGCACGGGCCTGGAGTAGAGGGGTGAGTCCTTCTGCTGGCCTCTAACTTGGACCCCCCAAACTCTTTCAGCTTATTTAATACCAAATTAAATAATTAATAATACCAAAGGTAATATTTAGCAGTTCTAAAGAAGGCCACTCCTGCCTCTGAATTATCTTTTGTGCCAGTTTGCTTCGGCTTAAAAATCCCTTACACTGTAGACCAAACTTTGGATTCTGCAATCCAAAAGCCTCTCGAGCATAAATATTTGGCAGAGTTAATGCATCATGGAAGGGTTTGGATCCAAGCACAGTCTTTTTGGTTATCTTTGGAGCAAAGCAAGGGGATTAGAAACCAAGAAAGCTATGGGCTGCTTGATTTACAGGAGAGCCTGTATCTCAAGTGAGAAAGGGAACAGAAAGAGTAGGCTGGTTCAGGATTAGTCCAGCCAGGATAGGTACAGCAGAGGCGGGTTATATAGAGAACTATGCAACCCTTTTCTTAATTTAGAATCCAACTGAGGTGAGTGGATTGCCTGAGCCCGCAGGTTCGAGACCCGCCTGGGCAGCGAGCCCTCATCTCTACAATAAATCAAAAAATCAGCCAGGCATGGTAGGGCATGCCTGTAATTCCGGCTACTCAGAAAGCTGAGGTGGAAGGATCGCCGGAGCCCAGCAGGTCGAGGCGGCGGTGGCTGGGAGCGGCCACTGCACTCCAGTCTGGGCGACAGAGTGAGACTCCAACTCAAAAAAAAAAAAAAAATTTAGAATCCTTGGGTTTTTAATAGAATTGAGCTTTAAATATCCCTACTTTAATCATTTCAAACATTTTAACGAAGAATGGTGAAGACCCTTTCGCATGGCCTGTTCTGCACCCTGGATGGAGACCTTTCAGGGAAGCGCCGGCTGCATGTTGATATGCCAGGACTCTGCTGTCCTTCCAGAGTGGCAGCGCCAATGAGATGCACCAATGACTTGGAGATGAGTTTTTTGAAGTGTGGGTGAGAGGAGTAAAACAAGGCTCAGCATCGTCTCTGTCTTCATTGGTGGTTTATACTGTTCCATTATAGACATGGATGGAGTGGGGGATACAGGGTAGGGCTGGGGGCGTAGAACAGTGCTCAGAATAGTCCTGTCTCAGTCACCCCTGGAATTAGTGCAGGACACAAGGGCTTATCAAGACAGAAAGTTGCTGGAATGAATCCACGGTACAAGACCAAAGACTGAGTTCGTTTCTATGTATCCTCAGGCTAAACATAGTGTGCTCTTGGAAAATTAATTTAGTCTCTGACTCATGGCTTTCTCTAGTGTAAAGTGATAAAAGTATCACTTGTCACTAATTAAACTGTAGAGCATATGAGACACTTAGAGGTCTTCAGTTGAGAAATCAGAATTAATTTAGGTTTTATTTAAAAATATATGCAAGTCTGACTGCATTCCTTGTAGAAAGAAACCCAGATACAGAATGAGTAGAAAATAACGTAAGACAGCAAAAGAAATCCATATAAATGAGCAGTTCTTCATTCTTCTTCAGATTCCTGTTCCTTGTGAGGGAACAGGACGATAGTGAACCAACGATGGAGCATGACTCGGAAGGGAGGGAGGCTCAAAAGGGGCCGTTATGGAAGCCATTGAGAAAGGAAGGTGCCGTTGGAGAGGTGGAGAATTGGAGCAGTGTCAAACAGTTCAAGTGGACAAGAAGGGAGAGGACTGTCTTTCCTTTGGAGGTCAGAGTTGGGGTCAAGAGGGAAGGACCAGAGAAAAGGTCATTGGACTTGGGAGACCAGGGTTTTATTGGTGACCTTTGGTAATGGAGAGTACTTATTTAATAGTAAGAACTGTGCACATATTTATCTCATTTAATTTTCACATTATCCCTAGGACATGGGTCCTATTACTATCCTCAGTTTACAACTGTCTGCAGTACCCAGAGAAAGGCTGACTGAGGTTAAATAAGCTCCCCTAACTGGTGAGAAGCAGAAGAACCAGGCTCTGCCCCCAGACCTGTTGATTCCAAAGCTCGGGCTCTTCCCTCGCACTGGGAGTGTGAGTCTTCAGGCAGAATGGAAGCGAGACCACAGGACCTAGCAAGGATAGGTACAGTGAGGGTGAAGTTAGAAAAACAGACACCAGGTCCGACAGGTCATAAAGGAAGGCAAAGCCTGGTGGCTCCATTCACAGGCATGTGAGTGTTTTTTTGCACAAAAGCTCAGCCTTTCTTCTTTGGAACACGTAAAAGAAAAACGCAAGACGCTGAAGAAGAAAGAAGTCACAGTTCTGCCTGGTAGGGAGGGATGTTCTGGGCCCTTCCTTATGTTTAACCCTTGGTACACCTAGTAAGCCCGGCAGTGTGTGATTAAAAAAAAAAATACAGTGAAGAGCCATACAGTGAAGTAATGCCTTTGAAGTCACGTTATTAAGGTGGGAGTTGGCCTGATGGGGCCATGAAGGGGGAGGTTATTTCCCCTCCTTCCCTGTGTGACTTCTTGAGGATTTGGGGAGATCATTATTGATTGGCAGTGTGTGAATTAACTGATAATAACACCCACCTTAACTTAGCATTGTTCACTCCTGACTTTTCAAAGCACAGTCATACCTACCTTACACAGTGCTCTGCTCCCAGTCCTGTGTTCCTTCTGCCCCTCCGCCCTCTTCTTTCATTTTGGGTTTATTGGGAGTCACCCTGTGTGGCTTTTGTCTGACTTGGTTGCTGTCTTAGAGGCCAATGCAACCTTCCCCGAGGAGGAGTCCTTTCATCCAACTGCCGAAAGTCAATGTAGCTCAGGCCTGGCTTTCCCAAAGCTGGTTGGTACTCTCAGGGAGTGGAAGGCTCTCGTGTACTTGAATAAAGCAGAAGTGTAGGGTTCTCATAAGAAAAAAGGAATTTTCTCTCATTATTTTATTAGTATGAATGTGTAACCTCTTGGGCTGGCTGGGGTATCCAGGCACCTGGAAGGCATTTTTGTGAAGCCGTGGGTGTGGGGCTGTTTGACTGGACTCGGATCAGGGAAAGGGAAGCTTCAGCTGTGAGTTTGGCCCATGTTATCAGCCAGCCACCCAGTACAGGTGCTCAGGTGGCCAGAGTCCATGTCAAACCACATCTCCATATCTGAGGATCTGAGGAAAATTAATCCACAACTTCCTCTAAGTTCCTGTTTTTGGCCCAATCATTGAAGCAGAGGTTTTCCAGGGAAATAATTGTGAAAAAGGTGGCACGATTCCTTCTTTAGAGAGAAAGCCAGGCATTCTGTTGATGCTCCCTCAGAAAAGAAAGAGTTGGAACCCATGCAGTGCAGTGCTTTACAGAGACAGTTATGCAGCTCTGCTGAAATCCAAAGCTACTGTCTATAGGGGTGAGCCTTTCCTAAAGGCCAGTCAGATGTGCTAGTACCATTTCCTTGAAGGAAAAATGGAAGAAACTGAATGCCTGGCAGTATAATCTGTAGAAATGTGCTGCTTTAAAGCCAGGCCAGCTTAAAGAAAAAGGGAATGTATTCAGCAGTCAGACACGGATGACCCTAGCATTAAAGAAAGTTGGCATAGGGCGGAATTTCAGCTAAGAGAAGGGAGGGGAAAGGAAGTGTTCTCAATTCTTTTTTCTTTTCTTCTTCCTAGCAAGAACCAATTGAGTCATCTCTGGGGCTTAGTAATGGAGTAAGTGATCTTTCTCCTGAGTATGCGGTCCTGACTTCAGCTATAAAAAATGAAGTGGATAGTACGGTGAACATCATAGGTAAACTGTTTTGACATCTCATCTTTCATACACACGAGCAGCCCTCTGGGGTCTAAAATTTGTAAAACAGTGATCTTCCAGTAACATAGTCAGTGGGAGGAGGTCTTGGAACCATTTCAAAACGCAAACTCTAGCCCCCAGTTAGCCCTGCTTAAAAATGAAGGCCTTTGAGGATCAGATAAAGGAACTTAGATGGGTCCGCCTCAGTAAAAGAAGGTGCACGGTGTCCTTCCAGGAGAAATATTTGTTTCCTGGTGGCTAATGATTAGCGATCTCAGTCTTTCACTATTTGGTCACATGGGCAGAAGTGTTATTTAACTTGGGAACCAAGGAGAGGGAAGATTGTCCTCACGAGTCCTCTTAGCAACTGCTCCTTGGCAGACCTGCCATAAAGGTAGTGCTCATGGTACAGACAGAGAAACTGAGGCACAGAGGCATATTGCCAAAGGGCATACTTTGATTCAGCAGGTATTTTTGAGCACCTGTCACATACCAGACTCAGTACTACAAGCAGGAAATAGATCGGGGAGGTCCAATTTCTATTTTCATAGAAGGACACAGCTGGCAAACAAAGAAACCCACAGATAACTACAGTACTATCCTTTGTGGTAAATGCTATGAAGGGAAAAAGGAGAGAGGATAACCAACGAGCCAGGTTTAGATTGAGGGGGGTCTCGAGTGTGGCTTGCCTCTCTCCCCAACAGCTGCATGTACTTCCAGATTTAGCTAGCTGTGCACGCCCCAAAGGAGGATGCTGTCACCATCCTGAAGACATGGCTTCTTCTAGTGTCCCATCTCTCCTGCATGGTCCACTACACAGAGTTAGTGCCCAAAGACCTATCCCTGTTTTCCCTTTAAGGAGAGGGAGAAGAAAAAGCCCCTTACTTTTATTTTTACTTTTCTTTAACCTTGAATTTTCATTGTGTGTGTGGTGGCGTTGGTTTTCAGAAGACGGAAGAACCCAGCAACATGTTGAATTGTCCTGACAATACTCCACTGGTCTCTCGCCCAGGTTAGCAGTGCTTTTGCCGAGCTGTATAGAAACTGTCTCCCAGCCAGTGTAGAAGTTTGCAGGTGCGGCCATTCTGTATAACTTGCCCAGGCAGTGCTCTATAACCCCGTTGTGTTTCTCGATAAAAGGCAGCCCCGCCCTTCAATAAAGCAAAGATGACTTTGAAACAAGGGAGACTATTCATTACCCTGAAGTAAATAAAGCAGCCCGTAGTGACTAGACACACGGCGATTAGGAAGTCATGGATGTGGGATTTTGTGTTTATTTTGGTTGCCCAGAGTACACCTTAGAGGGCATTTTTTTGGGGGATTTGGGTAATTCCTTCCAAATTTGACTGTCTTAATCTAAAGTGATGAATTGCAAGTGGTTTTTAAAGCCAGACCCAGAAACTCTGAAGGAGCGGGAAGAGCAGATTCCCAGCCTGAAGAGACTGATTTCAGGGTCTGGCACAGGCCTCGTGGTTATAACTAGGGGTTGGCCTCCTCTGGCACTGGAGTTTGCAGTGGTTTCAGGGTGGCCAACGGGGACACAGGCCTGCAGAACTGTGTCTTCATCTGTTGCTGTTCTCCTAGCTCCCTGTTCTTTTGGCCATTTTGCTTAAGACGCGGAATAGTCTTTATAAGATAAGAAATAGCTCAGGGGAGTCTTCAGATGGAAGGTGCCCCCCCCTTAAGAGAGCCTCTGTGCTCATCAGCTGGGCCCTAGGCTTTCTCCCAGGAGGGCTGAGCTCCCCCTCTCTTTGGGAATGGGGGCCCGAGCCGAGACATCCAGAAATTTCAGGAGATCCAGAACAATCTTGGCAACATGAAGCTTATGTGAGACATGGAGCGAGACCCACAATACACCCTGACACGGGACCCATCGCTGTCTATTTTTCTTGGCGGATTGGACCTGGAGCGCCTGGTGACCAAGGTGAGGCTGTGTGGAACTCGCTCCTCGCCAAGTACCAGCCAGGAGCCCCCGGTAGTGGAGGCCTGTTGTGTTCTGCGCCTCAAGAAGTTTGTGTGTACTCGAGAAAGCTGTCGTCATTGTTCAGTGATGCCATGTGGTTTTTTCTCCTTCCCCCTCCCTTGCCCCTCTCACCCTAATGATGAAATCCTGTTTCCCCTCACTGTATTTCTCAAACCTATCCTCTTCTGTTTTTGATACTGTTTCTAGTCCTGTCTTTGCTCTCACCTCCATTCTGCCCCTCCCCGTTTATTCTTCGCACAGTGATTTTTTTTTTCTTTTTTAGAGACACAGTTGCTCTGCAGCCCAGGCCGGAGTACAAGGATGAGATCCTAGCTCTCTCCTGCCTGGGACTCCTAGCTCAAGCGATCCTCCTGCCTCAGCCTCCTGAGTAGCCGGAATTAGAGCCGTACACCATCACACATCTGGCTGATTTTGTAAATTTTTTATATTTTTTGTAAAGGCATGGTCTTGCTATGTTGCCTAGACTGGTCTCAAACACCTAGTCTCAAGAGATCCTCCTACCTTGCCTTTCCAAAGTGCTGGGATTATGGGCATGAGTCACTGTGCCCAGCCAGCAATTTTTTTTTTCTTTTTGTTTTTTAGAGACAGGATCTCGCTCTGTCATCCCGACTGGAGTGCAGTGGTGTGATCATATGGGCTCAAATGAGCCTCCTGCTTCTCCGCCTTCTACGCAGCTGGGACTATATGCCACCACACCCAGCTGATTCTTTAATTTTTTAATATTTTTGTAGAGGCAGTGTCTTGCTGTGTTACCCAGGCTGGTCTCAAACTCCTGGCCTCAAGTGATCTTCCTACCTTGCCTTTCCAAAGTTTTAGGATTACAGGCAGGAGCCACCATGCCTGGCCACAGAGTGATTTTTTTTTAAATGTCAGCATCACCATCACTGTGTCACCATTGTCCCCAAGACAAAGACCTGAATCCTTCTCTTGTCAAAAGGGTCTGGCATGACTTTTACACCTGTTTTTGCATTTGAGTGATTCTGAACAATGCAACCCCCTTGTGGCTGTTTGTAGGGAAAGTGAGGTTAGAGGTGAGTTTTGTTCCTGTAGAGTGGCCACTAAGGCTCTGTACACACAACACAGTGAGGACAGTCCCAGTGTGTTAGCCAGATTTCTGTTCCAAGATCATTGACCCTCAAGACATTGGTTAACTCTCTACCGAGTTGTAACTGGGACACCTTCCTTACTGCCCTTAGTATAATAATAGTACGTGGTGCTGTTTTCTCCTGGAGTGAAGAGCTTATACACTGCCCCAGCTACCTCCCCACTTCTTCCTGCCACTCTGTCACCCTGGTGAGGTGAGGAGCCAGCTAGTCAGGGGCGGTGTGGCCTGTGAAAGGACGGAGCTCCAGCCTCTGAAATCACTAACCTCGTAGAGCCTGTCTCTCACATCTCTGCTCTTGAACAACTAAACCAGATCGTGGCCGTATGTTGTAAAGAACAAGCACACGATTAGAAGGTCAGGGACTGGGGTTTGAGACTTCTTTCTGAAGTTTTTTGTGTCACATGTTCTGGAAAACGTCCTAAGCTCTCTGAGATTCCACTTATAGATAAATTGAAAGTAATATGTATCATTTATAAAGTGGAATATGTAGACTTCTGTATAAAATGGAAATAATAACCCTGATCCTGCCCGCTTCATAGAGTTGCCGTGAGGACGAAATGAGCTGCACAGATCAATCACTCCATGGTTAGAGGTGGGAAGATGATATATTGTTATGATGATATTACCAAAATTATATGAACTATATTTGAGTAAGGAAAGTAGCCCCATCTGTGCTGTGCCATCAGGGCTGGTGTTAACAGTTTCAGTACTCAGACTCAGACTGGACCCTGCGTGATGCCATGCTGACGGCCTGATTTAATATGCCCTGCTAGTAAGTTTCATTCTTGACTCTGCAGCTACCTGGTGACCTTTACAATTTGCCTGGGGTTTAGCTTTTTTCAACTGCGAGCTGGTAGGGCCAGGCCATCTCCCAAGGCCTCTCTGTCTCTAATAGTCTCTGCTTTCAAGCACTTTCACTAAGGCTTGAAGCAAACTGCTTTCTCAGGTGGAGTCCCACATAAAGTCAACAATTGTTAATAAAATAAGAATGACCTTTTAAGGAATCAAACCGGTTCATCAGTAACCGGCCATGAATAATATTGTTATAATTTTCAGCAACGAGGTTCAGATAAAATTACATTCCTGTGGATGACTCTTTCGGATGTGCTTACTTTAATAAGCTGCAAGAGCTTAGTGGAATCCTGGTTCTTCTAACCATTTGAGAATTTCCTTGGCATCCAATAGAGAACTGTTGAAAAGAAATGTCACTCTTGGTTATGAGCCCAAAGACTCACTAGATGAAACTCACGAGTTTTTATCCTAAGAGGGGCTTAGAAAACCAAGAGTCACTCAGTTTGGGCTTTGCTCACTCTTTCTGTTAGGGAGACATATTACAAAGAGTTGAAATTTGGAGTCAGGTAAGGCTGACCTTGAATCTTGGCTCTGCCATATATTGGCTGACTTTGAGCTAGTTATTTAGTTCTCGGTGATGCCATTGATTCAACATGTCTAAAATGGGGATCCTGACTGTGCCTTCCTCAAGTGTTAAGGGGTTGTGAGCTTGGGAAGGGGCAGAGAGAGGCAAGACTGCGGCTCAAGGAGTCAGGGTTTGTCTGGATACTTTTTGGCTTTCTGCAGGGTGCCACTTCTGACCTTATTGCTGCAGCAGATAAGTTTGTTATTTGTGTGTCTCTTCAGTTGTCAGATAAGTTCGTTATTCATGTGTCTCTTCAGTTGTCAGATAAGTTTGTTTTTTTATTTTATTTTATTTTTTTAACTTTATTTTTTATTGTTTATTTTTTTGAGTTGGAGTCTCACTCTATCGCCCAGATGGGAGTGCAGTGGCCGCTCTCAGCCACCGCGGCCTCGACCTGCTGGGCTCTGGCGATCCTTCCGCCTCAGCCTTCCAAGTAGCTGGAACTACAGGTGCGCGCTACCACACCCGGCTAATTTTTGATTTATGTAGAGATGAGGTCTCGTCAAGTTGCCCAGGTGGGTCTTGAACCCGCGGGCTCAGGCAGTCCACTCACCTCAGCCTCCCAAGGTGCGGGATGACAGGCTGAGCCACTGAGCCCGGCTCAGATAAGTTTGTTATTTGTGTGTCTCTTCAGTCGTCAGGAGTCAGTGATGCTGTGTGCTTTGTCACTTGGTGGTTCAGGGAAATCAGTCACATGACGAGAGAGGGAAAGAGAGAGAGAGTGATTGAGACTGATGAGTGACAGTGTCTGAGCACATCTAGAGAGCATTTCAGATGTTGGGATGTCCCTGCTTCTCTCATGGGCTTTGACTCGGGGGCTGGAAATTTTCTAAAGTGCCCTCGATGATGTTTGGACGGAGAGAAGTGGTCATCCCACGCAGAGGCATAATGCTATGGGGGATTCTTTGGCCTTAGAGATAATGCACTCTATTAATTGGATATCTAGATGATAGCCCAGAAAATAAAGACTGACTTTTCTGTCCTGGACACCAGCTTTCAGGATACTTAAAATTTGAGTAGAGATGCTTATCTACTTTTTAATTTTTTGGTCATATATTTTAAGTGAAATACGGTAAAATTAACCCCTTTTAGACATACAGCTGTATAACTATCTCTGTATCCAAGACAGAACATTTTCATCACCCCAAAATGTTTCTTCCCTGACTCCCCAAGCACCCACAGCCTGCTGTGTCTGTATCACTTCACCTAGGTTTAAAGAGTCCACTTGCCAGAAGTCTTGGAATTTTTTAGAAAACATGAATCATCTTACTCCCCATTGGCAAGTTGTCATGAGCCCCTGCAGGACTCTGGCTGCAGTCAGGGAGCCTCAGCCCCTTCATGCATCCATCTGATGAGCAAAGATTCACTGAGCGCCTCCCTGGCACAAGGTGTGAGCCTGTGAGCATGTGTCATGACTGGATACAGAAAGTTTGGTGCAGGTTCTTGGCTGCCAGGAGCCATGCTTTGGTTGAGGAGGTCTGCCGTCTACAGATAAAAAGTGAAATAAGGATATGTAGAGTCACCCAGCAACATGAGGCAGAAAGTCTAGTGGTGTCACACGGCTGCATCCGTTGTGGGTTCGACTGAGCGGCAGGGACAGTGTTCGGAGGCACCCAGAAGGAAGAGGTCAGTCTGTGCTGGGTGGTCAGGAAGGAAGGAGCTTCCGGAAGCAGCACCTTCTGCCTGCTGTCTAGTCCCAGGTCACTATTTCCCTGAGGCCTTTTGACTCCTCTCTAGGCAGAAAGACCCCACCCCAGTCCTCAACATTCACCACACGGCCCCTTCTTGTTCCTTCTCTTCTTTTCACTTGCTTGCTGCTTTAAATGTATTCTCTAGATGTTTCGCGGCTGGCCTGTAGCCCTGTATGTTAACTTCTTGTAGAATTGGCTGCAATGACCTTTCTCTGCTCCCTGTTGCACTGGACGACAATGTGTGCCACAAGGCGGGTGCTCTGCAAATCTTTGTTAGTGGAATAACTGCGTTGGATATCATGTGGGGGCGGGGCGGGGGTGGGTGTGGAGAATGGGGGAAGCAGGGAGAGGAAGAACTCCTGGCTGGAACAAAAGGGTGTAATTAGGAGGACACTTGAGCGCCCACCTTTGTGTACTGGCTTGGCTAGCTTGCTGTCTCCTATGAGGAAGGGCAGGGCAAAAGAGAAATGGGTTTTGAAGTACTGGAAGTTGAAACGGCTTTGATTTACAAATCAAATTTATATAAGACACTATGGCTTTAGTCTGCACGGTATGGCTCGTGACCCTCCCTCCTCAAACACACACGCCCTCATTTGGTTTGTATTCCCACCCACCAGCTGCTTCTTAGGACTTGGGATGGGACGGGACTTGATCTCATTTTTCTACCATTTTATTTTGCTTGGGGGAAGAGGCAGGAGAAACTTGAGAGAGTGCAATATCGGTCAATGTCAGTCTCGTCTAGTAGCTGCATAATTGATGCCCTCACACTCAACTAGGAGAGTCCAGAGACCGAGATAAGAATCGGGGAGGCTGCCTGCCATATATAGACTGCTTTCCATGTCTTTAATTTTATCCCCATCAGGAAAACCCAGCAGCATCCAGCTTCCCTCCCATTGTGTGTGCTGTGGCTTTTGGACTCTTTTATCACATCCCTAAATCTCCTCTTCCAGCCTCCTTTGTGCCTTTCCTTTCTTTATTACCGAACCTATGGATTTCCACTAGCCTCTAAAACCGTCCCAGAGTAGAAATCAGATACTATTCCCATCATCCTGCAAAAAACAATTAAAACAGGAACTTGTTTATAACAAAAATACTTCTGCAAATAAAACACTTTGTTGAAAACAGGAGCCTGTTCATGGTGGCTGCCTTCTCAAGGAGATTGGAACGTGGCTCCCTTCCAGCCTAACCTAAACATTTTGCAGGTGGGTGGGAAAATGACAGGACTATAGAGCACTGCACTTACTCCAAGCTGTGTGAGTTTGGACAAGTCACTCTCCTTCTCTGTGCTTGAGTTTCTTCATCTATAACAGGATGATAGCACTTTTCCTGTCATTCTCATGGGTGGAAATGTTAAAATAACATATACAGGTATGAGTAAAATGTTAATTGTGGTGGCAAAGTGCTTTGAGGATCTTGAGAACTGTTTCTTCCCTTTATTGGAGCTAATTTTCAGGGACATTTAATCCAATCAACTGCCAAGGCAGTACAAGGTCAGTTACAGTTAAAGTTATGACAGGACATGAGAGACATTAAAATTAAAATCACAAAGAAATATCATTACTCACCTATCAAAACAGCCAAAATGTAAAAAGCAGTGACAATACCAAATGCTGATGGGGATCGTGGAGAAATTATATCCCTTGGGGATGTAAAATGGTACATCTACTCTGGGAAACAGTTTGGCAGTTTCTTGTAAAACTAAACATGAAATTACCATATGACTCAGCAATTGCACTCTTAGGCCTTTACTTTAACCCCGATAAATGGAAACCTGCACACAAACACTCACAGTAGCCTAATTTGTAATAGCCAAAGCCTGGTCTCAATCCAGATGTCCCTCAATGGGGGAATAGTTAAGCAGACTGTGGTACATCTATACCATGGAATACTACTCAGGAATTAAAAAAGGAACCAGTTATTGATACACACAGCAATTTGGGTGACTTTCCAAGGAATTACTGAGCGAAAAAAGCCAGTCCCAAAAGGTTACTATATGAGTCCACTTATGGGACATCCTCAAATGGAGAACAACTATAGAAATGGGGAACAGATTGATGTTTGCTAGGGGTTAGGGACAAGGAGGCAGATAAAGGGAGAGACTGAAGGAAGGTGGATGTGGTCACAACAGAGCAATATGAGAGAGACTGGTGGTGATGGAACTTTTGTGGTAGCAGGCCCATGAAACTACATGGGTGGTCAAATTGATAGAACTAAGCGTGCGTACACGCGCGCGCGCGCACACACACACACACACACACACACACACACAGGAGTTCAAGTGAGACTGAGGAAATCTGAACAAGATAGGTGGAGTGCTCTTAATGGCAGTATCCTGGGTGTGATATTGTATTCTAGTTTTGCAAACATTACAGTGGAACAAAATGAGTAAAGGGCACGGAGGATCTCTCTGTTATTTCTTACAACTGTATGTAAATTTGCAATTGCCTCAAAACAAAAATTTGAGACAGGTTTCGGAGCCAGTGTGGTCAGAATTTATCTTATCAATGTTTGGGCTGTTGATGCTACTAATGTCTGTTTTAATGGGGAAGCCAACTCTAGTCCATGGTACTGATATTCGGACAGTTGGCCACGTTGCCTGAAGACCAGTGAGAGGTCTGGGTGTGGGAGGAGGGCACCCCACAGCTAGAAGTGACACCATGGGGGCGGGTGTTTCACAGTCTTTCTTCCTTGTTCAGGTTTCATAATGTCTCTCTGGATGACAGAACCCAGAAAATAATCACAGTACCTTCCTTCAGAGTAAGACCAGAGAACAGAAATCAGTCAGGTTCCAAGTTCTGTCATGTCTGGCCCTGGGCTGGACCCGATGCAGCCTCTGGTCCTGCAGCCTTGGCTGTGGCCAGGTTGAGTAAGGAGCTCCGCTGAACTAGACAGGACGTGGCCACCTTTATGTGCCGTCAGCATGCATGCTAGAGACAGAGCTGGGCAGCCAGGTTGTTGGCAGGCTACCTCTCTGGAGACATTAACCCAGAACTAAGGCTTGCTCTGCAGCCTTATGGCAGGGCCAGGCAGTAGCCAGGAGCCTGCTCCTGACCCCAGCTCTGTTGGGTAAGGCTTTCTTTCTTGGGCGTGTGTGCTAGAATTGGAAAGTCAGGAGACTTTGGGGCATGATAGCTCTCTTTTCTTTGAAGTCGTAGGACAGTCCCATCTGGACAGCAACATTGAGGATCAAGAGATTGTCACTAATCCACCGGACATTTGCCAAGTCGTAGAGGTGACCACTGAGAGTGATGAGCAGCCGGTCAGCATGAGTGAGCTCTATCCTCTTCAGATATCCCCTGTGTCTTCCTACGCCGGTAAGTGGGTCGGAGGGAGGCTTTGGTACTAAAGGAGGGCAGTTTTTTATTCTGGGGTCACCCGTGTCACCACACAACAGAGAATCCCTCTTCTGTCCTAGGAGTTATTCTTGCTGCAGTTACTCTTGCTTTAATTTTCTTGACAATACCTTGGACCCTTTTGTTCTCAGCTAGAGGATATGGTCACAGCATTTCTTTACTCAGTCACCCAGAACATCCTCATGCACGACTAACATATAATAAGATTTATTTGGGGAAGTGGTTCGTGAGAGTCCAATTTATTTGCACAAGTTATCTGAAATCCGGCAGAGTGTTTTCATGGAACCTCAGTTTGACCAGGCTGCATAGGGCCTTAGAGATTGTCTCTTCCAGTTCCTTCATTTTGGAAGGGAAGGGGGCTTGCTCAAGGTCACACAGCCAGTAAGTGTTTGGGTCAGGACCAGAACTCAACCTTCATACCCTAAGCTCATTTTTAGATCCATTCCACCCAGCTTGTCACTTCCACATATTTTTTCCTTGTATTTCTATCTAGTACAGCTTCTAATTGGGCCAGGCAACTGAGCCCATTTCTAATTCCCCACGGAATCGGCTATATCATTGCAGGAATTGGCCCAAACAGAATTGCAGGATGAGAAACAGATTCAGTTGGCTCTTCCAGCCTTACAGAAGAGAGCGGTGACTCCTTTTCTTCCTCGACGTTATGTCATCTTGTATTCTCTTCCCGATGACCTCCATGTAATTTTTTGGAACTCAGTCGTCATTAGGAAATGTAAATTTCGGGTCAGGGATATTGCTTGCAGATATTGAAAATAAAAAGCAGAGACCCTGCCATAGGAAACTGCAGTTCAGCTGTAGTAAAAGGTTCTAGGATTCTTGCCTGTGTTCTGTAGATGCTGCCAAATGGAGTGTCCTCCAGTTAGGTACCGGTACCAGTACCACCCGGGCGACGGGCTCAGGCCCAGGGCAAGAGTTAAAGTTGACTCAAACGACACATTGTTTGTGAGTTATCTGCCACTGAATCTCGCCTCGTAGTCCTTAAATGCCAACTTTCTTTTTTTTTCCTTTTAAAAGTTTTGTGGCAAAATATATAAAACATAAAATTGACCATGGTAGCCATTTGCAAGTGTTTAGTTAAGTAGTATCAAGTGCCTCTGTGTTGTGCAGCTATCACCAGCATCGATCTGTAGAACTTTTTCGTCTTGCAAAACTAAAACTCTGTCCCCATTTAACACTAACTCCCCATTTCCCTCCACCCCAGCCTCAGGCAGCCACCTGTCTACTTTCCGTCTCTGTGAATTTGGCCCTTCTAGGTGCCTCATACAGGGAGGATCATACAGGGTTTGCCCTTTTGTGACTGGCTTATTTCACTTAGCATGGAGGCCCTAACTTGTTCTTCTGCTAGGAACACAAGAAGTGTGAGCATGAACCTTGGCCGTAGGAAGCATATCACCCATCGAGCAGGATAAGCTTATCACCAGTTATGTGTTCATCAAGCGTATTTTGATCTCTTCTATGTGCCAGGCCTTCTTTGGTCCTTGCCAGTCCCTAATAACATCAACGACTATTTGTTTCATGTGTATTGTGCCCTGGGAACTGTGCTAAATGCTTGGTACAGTTGACTTGTTTAATTACTGTGCGAGGAACCCCGTCAGCTGGGGCACCATCATATCCCCTCTTTAAAAACGATGACGCCCAGGCTGATGTGATCCAAGGATGTCCAGGGATGCATAGCTCTGAGCTCGGCTAGAACTCACATGAGCTGATGCCAAAGGCCTGTTCTTAACTCCCTGCTGCATCGCTGTCCTGGGCGGGGGCTTGGGGCTCTGTCGTTTGGAACACACCCACATCCCATGGTCTCGTTTGGCTTTCACAAGTCCCCACCAGAGGAGGCAGAGCAGAATGTTTATGCCTTCATTTTACAGTAGAGATAACTGAAGCGTGAAACACCAAGTCACTTTGCTTATATTTACATAGCTATGTCTCTGGGTTTGCGATTTCTCCTCTGTCATGCTGCTGCAGGCGTATTACACTCCATGTGGCTTTCTCTCTTTTTCTTTTTTGGTGGGTCTTGGAGCTTTAGAATAGACTTTTATGTTGATCTGTTGAGTAAGATTTTTTGAAGTCTTGGGCTTCTGGAAGGACCTATTCTTGCTGTTCTGCCAACAATGGCATTTGCTTTAGCAGAAGAATACCAAGAACAGCTGATCCATGCAGAGAGAAATGAAAATTTCATTCCCTCTTTGGGACATTTGCATAGATTTGAAAAGAAGAATTTCCGTGCCAGGATGGCAGGCGGCGGGGGTTTTACTGCAGCCTGGCCTTTGCTTCTTCTGCTGTTTTCATCGTCTGGATTCTCCAGAACCTCTTGGAGGGAGGCTTACTGGATCAGGCTGGAATGTTCCATGATTGCTAGGTTTTCTAGAGCTCACAGACATGTGAGAACTTCATCTGTTACAGACTATGACTAATTTAAGTCTTTCAGCCAGGAATTTTGTAACACTCTGCCCGGAAAAGCCGCCTTCTGTGTGTGGTCACCTCTCTTACTTTTTGTCCCCCGGCAGAGCAGGATGCTCACCTGTTTTGTCAACAGACTTTCTTTGTTCGGGCTAGTCAACTGAATTTAGCCTCCACCTTCATTCACCTGTTTGGGAAACTGGCATTTGGAGCTGCTGTTTGCTGTTTCCCCCCCCTACTGATCATTGAAATATAATCCCAGCAGTATTACAAAGCCACATTCAGTTTTGTAAGTCCACCTTCTCCTCTGTGTTCTAAATATTATAGTGAGAAAGAAAAGAGACCGTTTCGTGGCATGGAATACTTGCAATAGGTATTTTAAGACCATATAAAGTTCTAGTTTGATCTGTAAAACTTTCACCCTGGGGAGGGATACTCTAAAGCCCAACCTGGGGAAGCTCCAGAGGGTAGACGGTACATGTTTCAAGGTCTCCCCTCACCTGGTCCCTCGCCTTGTCTATGGCACCAAGATTTTGTTAGGTGGTTGGTAGTTTAGTTTAAAAAAGGCCATAGTAGTATTTTGGGGGAGGTCAGGCAGAGGGTGTGGAGAACAGACTTGAGAGGAACGCATCATACACAGGAATAGTGAGTTATAACTTAGAGAGTGGAGACTGTCAGCTGACCAGCAGCCATCAGTAAGACTTTGGAGCCGGCTCGGTGGCTCAGCCTTTAATCCCACGCCTTGGGAGGCTGAGCTGAGTGGATTGCCTGAGCCCGCGGGTTCGAAACCTGCCTGGGCAACTTGGCGAGACCCCATCTCTATAATACATCAAAAAATTAGCCGGGCGTGGTAGCGCGCACCTGTATTTCCAGCTACTTGGAAGGCTGAGGCGGAAGGATCGCTGGAGCCCAGCAGGTCGAGGCTGCGGTGGCCGGGAGCGGCCACTGCCCTCCAGTCTGGGCAACAGAGTGAGACTCCAACTCAAAAAAAAGAAAAAAAAGACTTTGGGTCCTTATGGAAACCCTGTCAGTCTTGCATTTTGTGGAGTAGAAGAAAGACACAGTGGCTTTGAGGTGATTTGAACAATTTAGTCAAAGCAATTGAGGATATCGCCAATAAGAAGAAATCTTTGTCAATCTTACTAATAAAAATTATTGAACCAGAGATTTTCAGAAAATACACCAGGATGTCAGAGTACAAAAAGGCTTTCACATAAGCTGTATCGCCTCCCTTCCCATCATGTTCCTGAGATGGTTGACAGCGTGTATTCTCAAGGATTGTTAAGACCTGGGCTGAAGTGGGGTATCAACCTAAGACGAGTGTCATCCTTGAGGCTTCAAGGTCATCTCATCCAGACCGCCCCCTTGCCTCTCAACTTACGTGTTTTCAGGAAAACTGAGACCAGAAGGTTAAATGAATTGCTCACGTGTCTGTTACTCACATGCTGATGGTTCCTGCTTATTCTGACCACGCTATTGAGGCCACTTCAAACTTTTTATTCCATTATATTCAGAGTAAGTTTTTTTAAAAAATTATATAGATAGATAGATAGATCGATCGATCCAAGCTAATCAAAAGAGAAAGTGAAATAACAAGGCATGTTGATAGTTCAGCAGTGACCTTGGCTACAGTTCTTAAATTTGTCACTTTCCAGGTCATTGTGGAAGTAGCCATGGTGTAGTAAAACCTGAAAACCCAGAAAATTGGGCGTGAGTGTACCCAGCAGAGCACTTGGAGCCACCGATTTGGGGGTCACTGTGAGAGTCTCTATTATTCTAGAGAGAAGGGTCTCAGTCCTCAGGTAGGAGGTCCAGGCATCTTCTCCTTAGGTTGAAGGTACTAAGGCCATTTTTTAAACAACAGAAATTAGAAACTACAGTTTGCCGATGTGGGGTCTTCCTAACTGCTTTAGAAGCAGCCAATCATAATTTAGAAAGGATGCTCTTCAACTAGCTGAAAACATACATTCAGAACATCTTTTTTTTAATCTTAGATTTGGGGGGTACACATGCATATTTCTTACATGGACATATTGTGTGGTGGTGGGGATTGGGTCTCAGGGGGCCTATTCCCCAGAGAGTGGACATTGTGCCCTGTAGGTGGTTTCTGAACCCTAGTCCTGCTCTTCTGTCCCTCTTATTAGTGTCTCCAGTGTCACAAGTATTTCCATCCTTGTGATCATTTAGCTCCCAAGTATGAGTGAGAACATGCAGTGTTTGGTTCTCCGAGACAGTTTCATGTGTATCTTTTCTTATCTGCAACTGTTTCCCTGAGGTTGAAAATTGGGTTCTTAAAGGAAATGAATAATCTGATCACATTCACGGGCTGTGCAAGGTCTTACCAAAGGAGTCTTAACCCAGGCTCTGATTTCTAGCCCCTTCTGTACCTGCCACTTGGACTGTGGTGGAGTCCTAGCCCCCAAAGTGTGCTGGGTAGCATTTCTTTGTTTTTGTTTGAAGGGAAAAGGAGCAGAGACAGTGACATTTACGGAGGGTAATTAGGAGTGAAGGGCACCTGAGCATGCATGGAAGGAAGAGAAACCTTGGCTTTGGAGCACAAAGAGAGCCAAGCATAAAAATGGAAAGCGGATCTTGAAGTTTCATCAGAGGCAGGAACAGCAGGGAAGCAGAGCTGCTGTGTCCTGTGCTTGGGCCCAGGAATCAGAAGTGCAGTTTTGTTTTCTCTCCTCTGTGCTGACTCAGTTGGCAACTCTGGCAACTTTCTCAGCATCTCTGTTCCTCATTTTCCTCCTTGGGAGTGGCAGTACTGATGCCTGCCTCCTAGGGACACTGAGCTAGCACGAGGGTTCTGTGAGAAGGGAAATTTTCTTCTTCTGTTGCTTTTCATTTGTTTCTGTGTGCAAACATTCCTTGTGCCCAGCATTGTCAGTCTGCCTCCTTAGCTAGGACCGTCATCAACTGAGGCTGAGGCCTTCCCTGGGCACCTGTCACTCCCAGCTGAGGATGCTTGTGGGAGTCATACCCAGTTTCAGGAGTGGGAGGCTGTCCCTTGCCTGTTCAGGGTTGGCCCTCGGTGATCACCCACTCCTGTTCCAGTTAACAGTGGCCAAGAGACAGGCCCAAGGGCTCCAGGGTGAGACCAGTGGAGTCAACATTCTTGTTCTTTGTTTCAGAAACAAACCGGTGGCACAGTCTGTCCCTTTGTTCTTTGGCCTTTCGTTTATATAGAGCCTGCTTGCGGCGAATACTCTGGGAGGTAGAAAGGGCTCTGTCTAGGAGGAGCCATCTTTCCCAGCCCTGTCAGCAGGAAGATGTGAGGCAGCGTCCAGTCCCACAGCAGGGACAGGTGGGGGTAGAAGGAGCTACTTCTACACAATGGGGGGACGATAGTGGCTGCTTCCTGATTTAGGCTCCTTGTGAGAGCTAAACCAGACCTGCGGACAGAGGCGTCCCTCAGTGCTCACCAGGACAGTTTCTCGTTAGACCATGAATGGCCCATGAGTGATTTCTAAATGTCTGTGTATATCACAAGTTCTGCTTTCTGTGATGTCATTTCTTAGTGGTTGTAAACACTGACAATTGCACATCATGGACTTTCTAAATCTTAAAAAATTAAAATGTTCTTATTGTTAAAAATCCCTTTTTATTTAGGTCCAGGTGATGTGTAATCGCTAGCTATTGACTTTGATTCTGTTCATACAGCCTGTTAAGAAAAGCCAGAGTTGCACAATGCTGATTTACTGAATGTGTGCTGTATGTCAGCCCCGTGCTAGGCTTTTCCCACATACCCTCTCACTTACTCAACACGTAATCATCTTTGGAAGGGGGTGTCACCTCCACTTTACAGATGAGAAAACTACAGCCCAGTGGCATTGAGAATCTTGCTCAGTGTCTTACAACTGGCAGCCAAATCAGGATGGTAACCACTTCCTTATCTACCTTGTGCTGTGTAACAATGTAACCACAAACTTCCTGACTTGAAAGGACACATGTTTATGATCCCACAATTGCTGTAGGTCAGGGATCCAGGTGTGGCTTAGCCAGGTCCTCTGTTGCAGTCTTCCAAACCTACAGTTGAAATGTTGGACAGGGCTACCGTTTCATCTGAAGTTCACCTGGGGAAGGGTCCATTTCCAAGCTCACGCAGTTTTGGCAGAATTTAGCTCCTTGCAGATTGTTGGACCAGGGACCTCTGTCTCTTGATGGCTGTTGACTGGAAGTAGCCCTTAGCTCTTTGCCGTGTGAGCCTTCCCAGCATGGTTACTTGCTTCCATGAGGCCAGCAAGGCCAAGAGTTTCCTCTCAAGACAGGTTTCAGTGTTACGTAGCACAATGATGAACACATACATCTTCTCGCCTGGGCTGTTAGATGGTTAGAACAGGTAACAGGTCCCACCCACATTCAAGGAATGGCAACCCAAGGAAAGTGAACCCAGGAGGTGAAGATGGTGGGGCCACCCTAGATCTGTTCACCCACAGTTGCCCAAGTGGATGAGGCAACTCTAGAAATATAAATTGTAAAGGGGAGATCTGAGTGGAGCAGGGATAATCTAGAAAAAGTCCTTGGGAAATGTCAACTCGGCTTCGGGACTTAATGAAAAGATTGGCATGGATTGGAAGAAATGGCCAGTGTGGGTCTGGTGGAGGGGGCCGTCATGAGGAAGGGCACCTCGGAGCACAGAACCTGGGAGGTGGTACCCTGAGGAGACATGGCCCACCTCTTGCAGACTGAGCCTCCCCCTGCTCTCCAGAGGGCCCAGAGGAAGAGTTGAAATTCACTCTGCTTCTCCCATGTTAGAAGCATTTGACTGGATGAGGGGCGGGAAAGGATGTGCTGAGTTACCTGTTTCTCTTGTTGAGTCACCGCCTGAGCCTCAGAACAGCCTGAGTGGCAGGAATGATGGCCCTTGTTTTTCTCTCCGAACAGAAAGCGAAACGACCGACAGTGTGCCCAGCGACGAGGAGGGCGCTGAGGTGAGCTGGCACCTGCCCCGCGTGGCTGTGGGAGGCCCGAGCACCCGGGGTTCCTTGCTGCCGGTCACCTGCCCTCACGCTAGATCGAGAGTTTCACATCTGGATTTTTTGTGGGTTATAAAATGTACCGTCCTTTTGAGTTTGGGGCTTAGGGTTGGGAACGGATGAGCGGAAAGGGAGTTAAGTGTTACCGTCAGGAAGAGGCTATGATGGCAGGAAAAGGGACTCGAAGCAGAGGCCAGGTCGACGAGAAACACTGATGTCCTTATCGCTCTCATCATCCTGATTCACAGGCAGAAAGAGAGCATCCCACCTGATCCAAAGCAGTGTCCGTAAGTAAGTGTCGAAGGCCCTAAGCCAAAGTCTCTCATAGTCCGTGGCTTCCTTTCCCCCTGAGATCTGGGCCAGGCTGCTTGTGTGTCCAGTCAGATTCCAGGGGCCTGCTTCCCACACCCTCCCATGGACTGGGCAGCACAATGGCCGGAAGCGGCTGTGACGGTGAGGGCGAGCGTTCCTGCAGACCGCCCACCTGGGGTCTGTGCTGAGTGAACGAGAGAGAGAGCAGGAGAGGGAATGAACAAGGCTGGCAGTGTGGGGCGGGGAGGCTCATGGTTTCTGCAGACTCACACTTTGAGCTCCTTCTGGGAGTGACGCCGGCCTGAGGCCAGCTGCTTGCCGGGCACTCTGGAGCTCTAAGCCACCCTCTTTGGAATGCCAAGGTGCATCCACTGCCCATTGCTAAGTTTCACACTTCCCTTTCTGTGAAAATGCGGGTTGACGCAAAGGTCTAATTGGGCCAGCAGTGAGGAACCAGGTCACCATAATGCACTGGCACCGTGGCCTGAAACTTACAATGATTGAGCTGGGCAGCCAGAGACTAGGGAGCCAGAAACCCAGCTGCTGCCTATTTTCCTGCCCTCATAGAATAGTCTGGGCTGTCTTTCTGGAAGGTAGCCACTGGGAATTGGTTTTGTTTAAAGGGTGGGGAAATATTGCTTGGGGCATGAGTCGTTGGGTATAGATTTCGGGTGAGAAATGTGGAATTGCTAAGCTTTTGTTCATCCACGATGCCTAAAAAATTCAACGAAAACACCAATGCGTGGGAACAGTGGTGCATTTTTTCAAAGCCCTTCGATAGAAAGAAAAAGAAATACATGTCTCAATTCTTTCCTTGAAAGGGGCGGCCACACTGGCGGAAGAGGAACATCGAAGGCAAACAGTACCTCAGCAACATGGGCACGCGAAGCACCTACCTGCTGCCCAGCATGGCGACCTTCGTCACCTCCAACAAGCCTGATCTCCAGGTCACCATCAAAGAGGAGACCTGTCCGGTGCCTTACAACAGCTCCTGGCCCCCTTTCACAGACCTCCCTCTCCCTCCCTCCGTGGCCCCAGTGCCCAGCAGCAGTCGGCCAGACCGGGAGACGCGGGCCAGTGTCATCAAGAAGACATCGGATATCACCCAGGCCCGTGTCAAGAGCTGTTAGACCTCTGACTTGCCCCGGTGGCTCTTGGGGTTTCTTGGCTTTGTTTGGTTGTTTGTTTGTATTTTATTTTTTTCTTTCTGACGCCTCTTTTAGACAAATCTAAGGGAAAAAGCCTTGACAATAGAACATTGATTGCTGTGTCCAACTCCAGTACTGGAGCTTCTTTTTAACTCAGGACTCCAGCCCGTGGGTAGACGCGTGTTTCTAGAGCCTGCTGGATCTCCAGGGCTGCTCGCTGAAGTTGAAGGACCAACAGGGGCAGTGGAGGTGCTGCGTTGCCTGCGGTCAAGGCCGGCATGGTGGAGTGGATGCCTCCGAATGGAAGAGATAATGTGAACTAGCTGGAATTTTTTATTCTTGTGAATATGTACATAGGGCAGACTAGCGACGCTGCAGTCTGCTTCTGCACCTTACCTTAAAGCACTTACAGATAGGCCTTCTTGTGAGCTTGCTCTAATTCACGGCACCTTGGGCTCCCTGCCCCTCCCCTCCCCTCTCCTTTCCTCCTTTTCCTCCCCTCAGAGGCTCGGTTCCACACCCGGAGGAGGAGAAGAAGGAAACGAACTTCTCTACAGATGTCCCACGTGAAGACTGCTTCAAAGAAATCTCTCTAATCTGCTATGCTTGAATGCCACGCGGTACAAAGGAAACCCATCATGGAAGTATCATGCAAATTCCCAGATTTGAAGACAAAAATACTCTAATTCTGACCAGAGCAAGCTTTTTTATTTTTTATACAGGGGGATATTTTATTCAAGGTAAAAATTCTAAATAAAATATAATTGTTTTTTATCTTTTCTACAGCAAATTTATAATTTTAAGATTCCTTTTCTTGTTTATCAGCAGTTGTTATTACATCCTTGTGGCACATTTTTTTTTTTAATTTTGTAAAGGTGAAAAAAGCTTTTATGAGCTCATGTAGCAATCAAATTATCCTGTGGATTGATAATAAATGAATATGATATATAGTTAAATTTTTAAAGGGAATCACTCCTGGCTTTGTCTGTGTCTGCTTTCAAAGAGCACAATCGTGGGGTAGGACTGACAAAGTATCATTTCTTCTGGGGGACCAGAACTTTTTCCTTTGCTGACCACAGGAAACCCTGTGGTTCTTACCATGAGGCTGCAAATGCCTTCCTCTCTCAAGCTCTCTTCCCAGCTCATCCGCATGTGCAAGAGAAGAGGGATTTGTCTTGGTTTCATGTGGAGAAATTGAAGACTTCAGATGAAGATGCCTTTCCTCAGATCGCAGGGGTATTCGGACAGAGGCAAGGGCACAAGTACGACCCAAGCCTGATGTGACCATGGAGAGGGTCTTTCTTTTTTAAGCATATCCTTCAAGAATATTTATTATGTATCTGGTTTGGAGCATTCAGTATGGAGGAGGGAGGAGTCTCTTAAGCCACTCCAGTGGTCTTCTCCACTGTAAGCAAACCCCACCTACTTCCATGGTCTTCATGCTCTCACCCTTAGACTTATGCGGTGATTCAAGTTTTGTGTTAATATCATTTGCAGGGAGCAAGGATAAGACATCTTCAACAACAGGGAATATTTGTTGACCTCTGATGCCACGTCAATCATTCTTTTTCCTAGGACCTGAGGCCTTAGACATAGGCCTTGCCCTCAAAAGTTAGGGTCTCTCTTTTGGACTGAGAACTGTGACTTAAAGAACACCAGTCTCCATGACCTGTTGGAGGTTTCATGGAGTAGACTTGACCTTGAAAATGCCCCCGTGCTGATCTCTCGTGCATCCATGATGTCTATAAAGTCAGAATTCTAAGACTTAACTGTCCACCCACTACCTCTGGGGAGTTGTGGAGAGATTGCTGAGTTAATATTTGAAAAGGTTCCTTTGATAAAGGGACAAAGGGCTATTTCTACGCCTATTCTCCATATGGGGCTGCAGATATAATTAGCAGTCATAAAATTACCCAGCCCTGAATAGAAACCAATCGAAGCATTTGACTGGCTGATGTGTTGTAGGGGAAATGCCACGTGCTGAGGGTGGGCTGCTTTTGTGAGGAGGACCTCTGTTGGCTCTGTCGGTCTCCAGAGTCACTTGGTGAAAGGAGGACTCTTCAGAGGAAAGGGATACTCCCCGTCTCCTTTTCAGAGAAGAGCTACTCTTCTCCCAGATCCTGAGTTCAGTTCTCTGCGACTTATATCTAAATCCTTTTACTGAGCCATCCTGTTTCTGTTTTTTTTTTTTTATTTTAAAGACGTGGGTTACAATCCAGGACTGAGTACACAAGTGATCATGGTACGGGTAATGTTTGGACCTTCCTTTGGTCCCCACATCACCTGGTTTGAGATCAGGTACCCTCACTGATGTTACGTTCCCCACCCCCCACCCCCCACCCCAGGCAGTTTCCAGCTACTGCTGATCCCTTTCTTAGAGTATTACGATAAATGTTCAGGGTCCACTTATGAGTGAGAACATGTGGCACTCAGTTCTTTGTTTCTGTGGTAAATCACTGAGTATCAAAGACCCCGAGTCCATCCAAGTCACTGCAGAGTCCATAACCGTGTCCTCTAAGCCATCCTGTTTTTAAAGACGTTAACAGAGAAGTGACAGAAGGTGACCCTGAGTTGCATGGCCTGGTTATCAAAGGGTTTGAGGTAGCTCGGGTCCCCGCTCCCTCACTTCCAAGCCCCTAGCTCAGGACTGCTTCCTTCCACAGCTCTGCAGGTTCCAGACACCATTCCCACTGCCTTCTTCCCCTTCTGTGGCAGAAGAAAGTTCAAGATGTGGGAACGCACCACTTAAGTACCAAAGGTAATACTCCATTGCCAACAAGGCCGTGAAAGACAGAACCGTGTTCTAAATATTTCTGAAAAAGACTACCATTTCTGAGTGAGACTTGCCAGTCATGTAGGAAAATAAGCGAGTTCCGCATGCCCAGGGTTGACATGAGGAATAGAAACAGGCGGGGCATCTCATGGATTTAAGACTCAGAGCTTCCTGTTGTCACTTGGAGGAAGTACCAGGAACATGTGCTGCTTCTGTTTTGTATCTGTGTGAGTTGATATGCTTTTACTTGGGCTTCATTGTGTGTGTGTGTGCGCGCGTGTGTGTGAGCGTGCGTGTGTGTGTGTGCACGTGCATGCATATGCACATGCTCGTGTAAGTAGCAAGTTCAGTGCAACTGCCTTTGGAACAATAGTTCATTCTTTGCAGCCAGTACCTCACTAACTCCCTTGACAGCAGGCTCGCTGCACAGTTGTGAACTGTGACTCCAGACAGGTACTTCAGCCCAGCCCTGAGGTTGCAAACACCAGGCACATCCACACACCTTGACAAGAAGGACTTCCAGAATGTCATTTGCAAGTCTAAATAAATCCACACTCAACCACAGCATTTTTCCCATGTTTGGATGGAGTAACTGCCAAAGGCAGTGTTTAGTCTCTCAAAACATATTTATAGAAAAGAAGTAGTCTACATGGGTAAGAAGTACAAGTTCTTTGGACATCAAACCCCTAAAATAATACCTTTTGGGCCCCCGCATGAAAAATATACTCTTGTATTGTGCAACCATTCCTGAGATAGAGGTTTTAGGAAGGAAGAAGATGAGTGATTTGGTTTTAGGAGTGTGAATCTTTAAACTTGTGCTTTGGGGAGTATTTTGCATGTAAAGGAAAAGGTGTTAAGCCTCAAATGGCCTCCTGCCCCTAATTCAGAGAAATGGAACATTAGACATTCCTTTTGCTTGAGGCCATTCTTCCACCGTTGAATTTGTTAGGCTTTAATGACCCCCACCAGGTTTCCCTCTGACCCCAGGCCTTGGCGAACCCATCCCAAGAGTGTTTCTCTGTCTCCCACAGGACTGTAAGCTTCTTGAGTCTGGGTCTCAATTTCATTTGCATCTCAACATGTGGAACAAAGTTGGGTACCTATTAGGCAGTCAGGATCTCCTCTTCCTCCCCTGAGCCCCATCATTGCCTGTCAAGAGAATAGGGCTGTGTCCTTTAGGGAGTGTGGCCAGCCACAGACCTGAGGAGGTGTGCAAAACTTCGGATGGCAGGGAGTTGTTTGTTCCCGAGGCCGCCTGGGCCCCAACCAGCCTCACAGGACACTGGTATCACCTCCCTGCCTGGACTTGGGCATCACTGGCCCTGCAGACCAATGAAGGTTGTGTAGAGGTTTTCTTCTGTGGCCACGCTAACAACAGGTGCAGAGGCGCTGTGTTTCTGTTTCTGAAAATAGTGCGGAAGGAAGGAAGTGGTCAGGCCAAATAGCCGGTTTTAGCAAAAATGTTAAGTCTGTCCAAGAACCAGGGCTGTGCTGTGGAGGGATCAGGACATCGGCCATCCCAGAGTTCACATAGTCTGAAAAGAGCACATTCTAGAGTCTTTAGACTAAGTTTCTTTGGCATAAAACGGTGTGTTTCCATTCCTCTAAGCAAGCTGCCCTTTGGAGTTTTGGTCAGTTTCCCCATATCTGCTTTATAAACATGTTCAGACAGAGACTGCTGGCTCTGTGGAATGTATTGTGCTGGGATTGTGCAAATGCCGCTCGGTTAACCCCTGACATGCACAGCTGGAGAAACACGACTGTCACATGCAACAGCCTGTGTAGCAAAAACAGTCGATTTTAGAAACACAACTGTTTTTGCAGGTGCAAAAAAATTCCAGGGTGATAGCATCTCTAAGTTTCAGTTTTGGTTGAGAAGAACCTTAAAGTCTAAACACCCAAACATCCACACAACATGAATCATCAGGGAAAGAGGTTACCCAAGATGTTCCATCTGCCAGAAGCCTGGGTCATGGATCTGTGAAGGCTCTTATTCTCCAAATTGTCTCTAATGTGGCAGTTCAAAGGCACTGACGTTTCAAATCCACACGTTACACTGGAACAGAGTGCCTGGAGTTTCAGGATAATGTTAGTGGCGAGATGGGTTAGTTCCTTGTGGTTAGTGATGACTAAGCCTTGATTCAGTCCTAGAATTAACACTGATCCATATTGCTAGGTCAGTGGGCCAGTGCCACAGGTATGTAAAGAATTGCACAGAAATGTAGACTAGGAAAAATAGTTTATTTTAAAAGTAGATTAGCGAGAGAGAGAAGGTGAATCCACCTCTCTGGGATGGAGGGGGGAGGCCAGAGCTTAAAGAAAGCATGGCCACCAGAACTTGAGACTAGGGGCCTTGTAAAACTCCTTTGGGGCGTGGGCAGGGCAGGCAGGCATTCACAGGAGCTGATTTCATGGTGGTGGACAGCAGTTGGATGGGGGGGTAAGTCACATAGATGAGAAGGGCAGGTAAGCACAGGAACTGCTGCCATGGTGATGGGGTGGGGTCTGTGACATGTAGGTCACGAAGAGCTGATCGCCATAGGTTAGGTCAGCTTGGCCCTTTATGGCAGGAGGACAAACACTTGGGATAAAAGTATACAAAGCATGCTTAGGGGGTTGCATGACAATGATCAGTAACCACCTCTGGGTCCTTGTCAATGATTAGACGGTGGGTTAAAATAAGCTGTTGACTAAAGTCATTACATTTTCAGGTTTTTTTTTTTTTTTGAGTTGGAGTCTCACTCTGTCACCCAGACTGGAGTTCGGTGACCGCTCCCGGCCACTGCAGCCTCAACCTGCTGGGCTCCGGCGATCCTTCCACCTCAGCTGTCCAAGTAGCTGGAACTACAGGTGCACACTACCATGCCCAGCTCATTTTTTGGATTTATTGTAGAGATGAGGTCTCGGGTGGGTCTCGAACCCACGGGCTCAGGCAATCCACTCACCTCAGCCTCCCAAAGCACTGGGATTGCAGGCTAAGCCACCGAGCCCAGCCTGCATTTTCAGTTTTGGTTGAGAAGAACTTTTTAAAGTTTTAGCTTTTTTTCTCTTTCACTTAATCCCTAGAGTCCAGACTTCTCTAGTGCTACAAATCTAGAACTCATCTTTACGCTACAGTATCTTTGGGAAGCTCATGTATCATGTGCTTTTTATTTTATTTTATTTTATTTTTTGAGGCAGTTTCACTCTGTTGCCC